TTTAATAAATCAGAATAATTCAGTGCATTCACTGGTAGAGAAAATACAGCTGTGCAATAAATTTGTACAATAATTTATTTCAGTGTAAAATAACATAAAAACGACTTTGACCTTTCCAAGAGGGTTGGCGAGGTCGTCATTGCTCCTATACATCAACCTCTCAGGACGCAGAGAGATGAAGTATGAAGGGGGGGGAGGGGGAGAGAGGAAACGCCCACTCAGCCTCTACCGGAGATTCTAAATAATAGAATAATATTAACGACGATTGGCCATGTACTTTATAGTAAACCCTGAAACTATAGAAAACATCAAGAATAGAAAATGTAATCTTGTAATATCGATTTATGTGAAATGGGCTTTAATTAGTGTATTATATACCTGAATATTAATTCTGATTTACCAAGCAGCAGACTTTTGTCAACTGAGACCTAAATCTGGCTCAGAGCATACTGCAGTACAGTGTACAGTGCATACAGTACATGTTTATTTTAGTAATCAGGTTTCTGTATATTCATCCTTCTCCAGGGTTCTACTAATACAGGAAGGGGGCCGAAATATTTGGTTCAATTTCTTCTATGTATGTACAGCTTGTACAACACTAGACCCGCTCTATCTTATGATGTTTGCATTTGTTACAAAACTCAAATCCTGTCTGGTTAGGCAATTTCCTTCATTCATTAGTTTTGGTCCGTGTCAATGGAAATCCAGGATGGCGTTCTAATATTTAAAAAAACTGTCCCTCTTTTTTCTTAGAATAAGTTTCGAGACGCATTAAGTTTTCTTCCAGCAACTGTATTAATAAAGTTTTCTGATGAAGTAATTAAAGGGGTTCAATCTCATCATGTTGGTTTATCTTGACTCTTTCAAGGACTAATTTCTCCAATCGAGGTATCCATAATCCTAGGGATTTCTGGATCCACATTTCACTCCCAAGGGTAAGGCGTGTGTAAAAGCTTCACCTTGGATCCCAGCACTCTTAAAATCCCTTTATAATCCCTCTCTCTGGATATCAGTCAGGTTTACTAATAAATAGAGTTTGATTTAGACTTTTATAATGTATATGTAAATGTATAAGTCAATCTTAGTAAAATCTGCTTTTTATTAGATTCTGAAGAACTGTTGTTCAGCTTCTCTTATTCAGGATCTCTCTGAGAAGCTTCCTCAACTTCAAAGATCTTGTTCAGCTGTTCCGGATCAAAATCTATCTGAGCAGCTTCCTTGAACTCAAATATCTCTTTCAGTTGCTCTGGTTCATTTGCTCCTTCTACTGCAATTCTAGCTGCTACTTTAGCTGCTCCCAGAGTCTCCACTACTTTAGCTGCTCATACAATCTGAGATGCTTCTACTGCATTCTCAGCAGCTTCCTTTGCTTCCGGAGCTGCTCCCAGAGTCTCTGCTACTTTGGCTGCTCCCACAATCTGAGATGCTCCTACTACGTTCTCAGCTGCTTCCTTTGCTGGACTTGCAACAGGTCTGTAAAGAGATGCTCTACAAATGATATATCTGGTCCTAGTTGGACTAGCTGGTATGGTTACTATCGGGTCAGTAGGAGAAACCAGTGGAGATAAATCCCTTGGTGATGCTGAGGATTCTGAGGATGCATATCCAGGTATAATGATGGGGGAGGAGGCTAGAAACCTCCTTTTTTCTCTGACAGGCATATGTAAGATACATCCATATGATATCATGTAAAAGTGCACGCCCCCAGGCCTTTGTTGTACAATCGGAGGGTTTTCTTGACGTCTGTACTATTCAAAGTTCCTGGGTGCACTGTCCAATCTCCAGGTTATATATTCTGCCATTATTCAAAGGGGCAAGAAGTTTAGTATAAGTAACCATGCTTTAAATACTACACTGATTAATATCTTGTTATTTGTATTTGTATTTGATTTTATTTTCTAATTGTAAAGAGTTCAAAGGTATGTGTAGGTTTGAATATAAAACCAACATAGGATAATAGTCCTGGGTTTAAGAGATAAGACATCCCCATATACAAACATTGACATACATATTGATATACAGTTCTCTTGGAACCTTAAAATATGATGAACCCTCAGCAGTTTTCGATCTGAGAACCCATAGTTTAATAGATAGCCTGGAACCACAGATATGATGAACCCTCAGTTTATCAGATAGTCTGGAACCAAAGATATGATGAACCCTTACTTCATCAGCTACTCTGGTGTGGTAAATGCCCTACTCCATAAGAGTTTCTCAAACCTGTATCTATCAGGGTACAACTCAGTTTCACTTTACTATCAATAATAAAACCCGGACATGTTCTTGTGAACTATCAATGCCAAACCAATGGACGCAATATCGTCAGCTATGGTTTTCTACACGGACACTAGCTGGTAAAATATCAATGCCAAACCAATGGGCACGATCTCGCAAGCTATCGATGTCAAAACGGACACTAGCTTGTAAACTATCAATGCCAAACCAATTGGCATGATCTTTTCAGCTATCAATGTCAACCGGAAACTAGCTTGTAAACTATCAATGGCAAACCAATTGGCACAATCTTAACTTGTCAGCTTTCGATGTCAACCGGACACTAGCTTGTAAACTATCAATGCCAAACCAATGGGCACGATCCTCAACTCACTTGTTTAAAACAAGAAATGATTATTGATTACTCTCTCGCAGTAATCAAAGCGGAGTAACTATATCAACTAACTATATTTGGGGGTTTATATGTTACAATTTAATGTTAATCGATGTAATTACAAGTTTTATGTCTATATATATAAATATATATATATATATATATATAGGGGGTATCAGGGGATATGCAGTATTCTGACCGTATATATAGGGGGTTTAAGGGGATATGCAGTATTCTAACCGTATATATAAGGGGTTTAAGGGGATATGCAGTATTCTGACCGTATATATAGGGGGTTTAAGGGGATATGCAGTATTCTGACCGTATATATAGGGGGTTTAAGGGGATATGCAGNCCCCCCCTCCTTCCTTCGTACCCTTCCCCAGTGTACCTTTCAGTTCCTCACTTCTCTCTAGTTGAACCCAGTAAGATATTTTGTTGGTTCTGGGAACTGGATTTTCTAAATCCCAAGATGACAATGTTAAATTCATTTTGATTGTTTAAATAAAAGATTTAATTAAATAAATTCAATGTTTACTGTAACCCCACCCAAACCTCGGTACACTTGTTTTTGGTGGTATTATTGGACTATTTTCTCATTATATTGATTTCTCCATTTGAAAAAATCAAACCCCCTCCCATAGCCCCCCCCCTTCCCACTCCTGTCTTACATTTATTTATATAGATTTATTGCTTTACCAAGTTTCAAAAATATATATGTAAACCTTTTAAAGATCTTTATACTTATCCTCAGTGTTTCTTGATAAAAATGACCAATATATGAGTTAACAATATACATCCCTGTTTAGATACGTTTCATCATGACTTTGATTTTAAAGTAAAGTTGACTGATTTAGACATTACACCGTGCACACTGCACACTGTTCACTGCACACTGCACAGGTCTTTTAGACTTGCTTTAATGTTTTCTCACAGAATCTACTATTCATTCATCTAGTGTATTCTACTATTCTTTAATCTAGTGTATTCTACTANATTCATTAATCTAGCGGATTCTACTATTCAATAATCTAGTGGATTATACTATTCAGTATCTAGTAAAATCTATAATTCATTTATCTATTGGATTTAATTGACTTATTGAACAGTCGTCACCCTTTCGATTCATATATAGTTATCGTACAAAACATTGTGATATAAACTATGACGTCATTGTATGCTTACATTAATCTAATAATAGAGAAATGCATAAAAATCCCTAGATACAATTTCCATTAGAAGAGGAGATGAAACCTATTAAGTCATTAGTATCCTTTTCCATAGAGATTTAGCTAGAATCAAGGAGCGATTTTTAACAAAAGAATGGAGGAATGGAGACGCCGGAGTTGGGGTTTTTAAATTCAAAATCTATGTATATTTACTTTGCTTGTCCGTTTGTATCTAATAAATGTCAAAAAGACTGAATCGATCGGGCCCAAATTTTTTGTGGGACCTTACGTGACCCCAGGGAAGGTTTATGGAAGATCAACATTTCAAAATTAGCCTCCAACAAAATGTGATATCCTTAAATTTTGAAAATTGAAATTATGCATTTTGTTAAAAAAATTAAAAGATATTTAAGCCCAATTTAGCAAAGAAAGGAAAATGTGCGTAACACACCTGTAATTCGTCCGGACCACACATATATTTCGTTCGGAAATGATGTTTTCTTATTTTACTCCTAAACTGCAACTTTTAGGTGAGCGCTGGGATTATTAAAATCTACAACTAAAAATTGACATTTTTTTAGTAGGGAACATAACAATTGGTTTTAATTTTCTTGAGGGTTTGTGAAACAAAGATTTGCATGAATTGTATTATGCCTACTATACATACCTTCAAAAGATTATCTTCTCTAAACAAAAAACAGGATTAAATAGTTTAAACCATTATAAACAACATGACGTGGCTTAAAATTCTAATGTAATAATTTAGAGCTCTTTAAAAAGTTTGTAAACAATGCTGAACAAAAGTGAAGTGGTCAGAAGAAATAATGGTCAGTTGTGACGTAATTTGTGGTCGAACGAAGTTATGCCTTCCCTCCCTCACAATACAGTAAACATGGATGGTAACAAATTTAGATAACATTGATTGCTAACATCTCAATTTTCCAAGAGAAGATTATACCAAACAACTTATCTTAAATAAGGGATTATATATATATATACATATGATAGCACGCAGAGCAGGGTTGTTCCTTTCCTCCAAATAGATTATCAAGTACAATAGCTGGCAACAGATAAATGGATCAATTATACACGACGTCACAAGTGTCAAATATAACAAAGAAGACGAAATTTTCTCACATTATTTGACATGTTTTTCAAGATTAAATAAAAAAGTGAAAAAACAGAAAATAAAGAACGCATAAAATTGCACTTTTTTCACTGTAAGATAAGCTCTTTATTTTAAAATTATCACTATTATTAATAATTGTGTCGGACACAAAAACTGTTGACACTTGTGATGTAAGAATACAGCTGTACTGAGAGTGCACAAATACTAAGTTGCCATCTATTGTAATTAACAATCTATTTGCTTTCCCCTAGTAGTAGTTTCTAGTTCATCTCTTTCATCGATAAAAAAAAAATATCACACGAAAAATCTGATTATTTTATAAAGAAACGAAAACTTTTTTAACAAAAGTTTATCAATATTTACATATTTACAAATATTTTATGTTTTAAAAATATTCACAGAGAGAATTGCTAATATGTTCTTTGCACTAAGAATGTATTTTAAATTAAAGTCTGCTTAATCTTCCTAGACCAATAAACTGTTCCTTGATTTACATTCCTTGACTGCTTCATTAAATCCTTGACACAAGGTTAGATCGGATTGACCCTGCGCGCACTTGATGAATTCCTTGATCTCGAAAGCACAAGGTCCTGTGGGTTCTGCTGGGGGAGCAGGGGCGGCAGCGGCGGGGGCTTGAGGTGCAGCAGCGGGTGCAGGAGCTGATGAGCTACCACCGGAAAACATGCTGGTCATTCCAGCCCCGACCACGTGACCAACAGCTGATCCAACTGCTACTCCTCCAGCTGTAGCGGCCATCTGTAAAATAAAACAAATATTGGTAATAGTTTTAAATGTTTAAACTAAAATATATTTATGATAAATATTATTCATGATCTCGTACACAGCAAGATAATATATGTCATATGATTCTGCAAATATTGACAATGATGTATGTATATGCATTATTGTAGATGGCACAACGTACATTGTTAATATTACAATGTATATATTGTACATTTAGTAAATATATCAGTCTGAAAATATTTATTTTTTTGCGTACTTTTTAAACTTAAGATTTATTCATCTTTAGCTTTTTTGGCCAGCTCAATTATCTGATGCAATATCTGGAGACTTTAGATCATATAGTGCATCATGTTCGTCTTTTTCATTTGATGCATCATGTTCGTCTTTTTCATCTGACGCAATAGGTTGACAAATGAATTTAAACTGTATCATCTCAATCAAACGCAAATATTATTTCTTGTTTAACCACAAATTATAAGTTTATGCAATACTCAATAAAAACTTTAGCTTAACATAAACATTTTTAAACAAAAACTTGATATCCCTAAATATATATATAGGGGACCCAATATTAACAATATTAATCAAAATGAATTTTAATTGTCCGAATTTTAACTTGTTAAATTTATTTATTTTACGTTTTATTTATTAAAAGCTAAATATATCTCATAGAAAGCAAATCATTATTTCATTAATTTAATATTGAAAATAAAAGGGGTGGCTTCAGTAAAAAACACCCATAGTTACAGGGATACCCAGAAAATATGATAGATTTAAATGACGGCTCTTAAATGTAACATTCAGGGGCGCTTAAAGGGATTTGTCAGAGAGGGGTGGGTGGGGGACATGGTTTTCACTCTTCCAGGGGGTGGGGATTAGCCTCAATATCCCCTACCCTTTATCAGTGTATATACGCTTCTGGTAACATTATAAAGGTGAGGTGAACAAATATATAATTAAACTTGCCGGCCAGGAAACATCCAGTGTGGGTAAAACCCGGTATGTTTTTTATTGTATTTGAATATGTGCAGTACCTGTGCCATAAGACCAGGCTGCTGAGGAGCTGCTGCCATGGGAGCTACAGCAGCAGGCGCTGCTGCTACAGGAGCTACTGCAGAAGGGGCAGGAGCAGGTGCAGGAGCCGCTGCGGGTTTAGGAGCTGAAGCATGAGCGGCTGGGGGAGGAGAAGCAGCACGTCCTCGTCTTGGCATTTTGTAGTTCAGTTTAGAATTTGTTGTGTGTGTGTTGATTTCAAGATGTCTGAAATAGAACTGGATTAACCAGGGCTTCAAGGTAGAAAGCAGATTCAAGGCAGAATAGTTGTATAACAAGTTATCTTGTATATCTGCTTTTCTCGAATATTCTAGACTCTCTAGACATTGTCAAAGTACACGAAAGAGAAGACGACATTCATAGTCACATTCAAATAACGGTCAAAAAATCATATCCTTTATCTATTGAAAATACAATCTAAAAATAAATTTTACTTTTATAATCATCTGTTGAATTTACAATTTTTTGTTGAATTTACAAAGATTATTTTATTATTTTATTAATTTAACTTTCTCCTCAATCATTCGCGAAAAAAAACTGATACATGTAACTATACATATGTTATTTATGTATGTTGTTATTATGTAGATATCTCAGTTCTAACACAGAAAACGACATCACTAAGCTTTCTATTAAAAAACTAAATCACGGGACAATGTTTCAACATGTTCTTTATGCCTATATTTAATTGTAAATAACCTTACATGTAACAAAATAGTTTAAATCTACCTTATGAGATTAAATTTCAGGCATTGTTTAGCTATACTAACTTGAAATTCGAAGTTTTACTCTTACTATTTCGCGGATTTTTCAAAATCATTTTTTTTAAACAATTAGATTTAATCAAAGAAAAACTAACGTTTTCTTATGTGGAAACTTGAATTTAAAGTTTATTTATAGTTTAGATAAATTATATTTGAGCAAATCCGGTAAATAGAGTTTTGTTTTAAAATATATATTAATGATACATATATAATATTAAAGATAGAATAATTTAACAAAATATATAAAAACCTTTTAACACATTTATATTATGCATAAATGCTGAAATAGCTCTTGACTATTCAAAAAGTATGTGTTTATTGTAAATCTAGATACATTATTTAGAAAAACAATTTTTCAAGAAAAAAATAATAATATTTTTCGCTAGGTTGAATTGTCCGCTATTACTGCCTCTGAACTATTCACATAATTCTAGAAAATAAAGGATTTAGAAAACGAATGATATGATTTGATCTTTAGAAAATAATGAAGAGAGATGTTTGTTTGCAAAAGTAGATTAATACATATTTAAAGAAAACAGAAATGTTGGAATTTTTGACGATATTTTCATTTTTTTTAGCTAAGCAAAACAATTTTATAACTCGATGCATTATGATAAAGAAAACATGATATTTTATGGAGACCAATATTTGATGTTTTACTGCGCAAGTAATTTAAGAAAATACATTTTTCCGTCACAAGAGTTTTGACCCTCCATGCAAAGACGGCATGATGTCTGCTTCACAAGGTTATACCCTTGAAATCGATATAAGATCAATAATTTGAAAGATGTGGAATTTGTTCCTAGTTTAAAGTATTTAATTTAGATAGTTTTCCTGCAATACAAAAGTAAATTTGGGAAAGAAACAGCAATAGAAAATAATCGAGTTTCAACATTTTAAACAATAACATTTAATTTATATTTGATCAGACAAAGCTTTCACCGTTTGTCGTTTTACCCTCGATCGTTTTACCCTATGTCGTTTGACCCTATGGCATTTGACCATAGGTCGTTTGACCCATGTCGGTGAATCCTTTGAAGGGTATCGTTATGAATCGGGCATTGCCTTATTTTCATGGATAGTTACTTTAAATTATGTTTACTGTCTCTTTAAGTTATAATTTTTCAAAAACGTTAAGGTAAAACTTATGACCTCCATGAGTACATCCAAGACGGTGTTGATGGGAACAATATTCTTCTCGACACCTCGCTTCGCCAGCTCCCTCATTACCTTCAACCATTAAGTATGGTTTCAAAACAATTGTCCCGAAATTGATAAAAACGATATTTTTTTATTCAAAGGCGTCATTTAATTTAGTCAAAAAAAAACGTAATTACTTTTTTTTCTGATGCAGTTGACAAAATGAGCAAAGATTATATTTACCAAAAAAATTGTTTTCAGTCCCCTGACTCACTCTATTTATTTTCAGTCCCCTGACTCACTCTATTTATTTTCAGTCCCCTGACTCACTCTATTTATTTTCAGTCCCCTGACTCACTCTATTTATTTTACAGGGCCGGGTCAAAGAGGAACATCATTCACAAGAATCGGAAGAAAAGTTCAAACTTTTGTTCAAAACGGCGCTAATATACAACGCGCTACATTTCTATATTTTCTTTGACAACTTCAAAATTGAGAGATCCCTTCATTTCGTTATCCCTAAGTCAGAAATTTTGTGTTGAACAGGGTGTCCCAAAAAACATGGGAATTGATTGACGAATTCGATATCGTCTTTGTTATGAATTAGCATTGTAATACCTAATTTCAAAAGCCATAATATGATGAAGATGAAGATGAACAGTGAAGACGGACAAGCTTACTCTGTTTGTATACTGCAATTTTCTTGTTTTACTAAGTACAACCGTATGCAGTCAAAACATAAACAAACAAAATGTGATCATAGCAGACAAAACTCTTACAGATTACACCTTTCTCAGTAGGTATCACTATACTTAATTAAAGAATTATTTGAAAAGACAATATCGAATTCGTCACTGAATTCCCATGTTTATTTGGACACCCTGTACATCTCGCAATCAAGCATTGACCGAAAATATATTAATCCTAAAATTCAAACTTCTTGTTAAAAATTTCGTTATCCCTAAGTCAGAAATTTTGTGTTGTAAATCTTGCAATCAAGCATTGATCTCCGTCTTAAGAAGACTTACGGATTAATTTAAATCCTCTTTAAGATATCTCGTGCTGTTCAACCCTCCAGAGAAACTGAAAATGTATAAGTCCTCAAATTTAAAAGTGCTCGCATTGAAAATCGAGATCAAGCGTTTAAGATTAACGATACTCCACAGGGCACAGGGGAGGGTAAGATCACCAGGGGTCAGCAGCACAAGATGGAGATGCTTGATCTCGAGATTCACAACTCACTAAGGTTGTGAGATCAAGTAGTATTTGTGTTTTAATATAATTTACCAGTTTAATTTCATCCTGATCCAGTTCCTCACCAGTAACAAGGGATAGACTCTAAACAAACATAAATATGGTGTTAGGTATTTCCCCAAAGGCATTTTCCCAAGGGCGACTTCCCAGTTAACAGCTTCCCAAGCGGGAACTTCCCCCCCCCCTCATTGCCGCAGGCTGCAATGGGTGGGGGCCGAGCACTGTGGCTAGAACAGGCTAAGGGACCGAGCGCTGTTACAGCTTGGGAAATTTCACATTTTGGAAGTTGCCACTTGTGAAAATATCCTTGGGAAGTTGCAGATTTGGAAAATATATTTGTGGAAAGTACCGAACATCAATGGATATATACCTTTAATTTCTCATTTTAAACATCATCGGGTTTGTTAGCAATGTAACATTATTTCTATTTAATTTCAATCTATTTTAGATTCGTGCAAATTATGTCTTAAAAACATAATCGTTTCAATGCTTTCACTTTTAGCATGTTTTTTAAGGATTGTGAAATCGAATTCTTTGCTGTCTCATTTTGTATAATCTTTTAACGTCATATTTGAATTCGGCAGGGGGCGGGGGGATAATGTCACCTTCTCAAAACTGCGAAGGTCAATTTCATTCGTTCCTTTCTTGCACACTGCCTAAATATTATAAAAAATCAAACTAAGGGTAAAGTTGAATATCAATAATAAATGAATAGGCGAGGTAAAATCAAAGGCCAAGACTTTGCGACACTTTTAAGTCGACCCACTCTTCAAAAGGGATTTTAGCAATTATAGCACATGGGGGGGGGAGGTTTAAAATTTCAACCTTAAATGATTGATGAATATGATGAGGTGTTGAATCTCCCTCCTCCCACTGTCTATATTTTTATTATTATCATTATTATTATTATTATTACTATTATTATTATTATTATTATTATTATTATTATTATTATTATTATTATTATTATTATTATTATTATTATTATTATTATTATTATTATTATTATTATTANTATATATATATTGTGGCCAAAATTCAATTGTCTGTCTGGCCGGGTGTATCCAATAAACGCCAAAACGGCTAAACTAACATTTGAAAACGATTTAAAATGGCCGATTTTAGAGCAAGGGTTAAAGTTAAAATTTAGGAAAATTTGAGTTTGTAATAAATACACAATTCCTTTAGAATTTTTTAGGCTAAGATTTACAGCATGATTTAGTTCAATTTAGCAACTATGTCATATCATTTACATTGAAATATTTTTTACTAATTTATTTTCAATCCTTAAATATTTTATGTTCAAGCATTTTTCATATTTTTTGTATTTTTGATTTTTTGATTTTTTAATTTATCTAAAATTTATTAATTAATTATTTCTTTCTTATAATAAACAATATATAACATGTATTTGATGTTTTTAACCTTTGGAAAGGTCCCTAAAGCTCTAAGTGCAGTTCCTAACTCTTTAATTGTAATGGAACCATCCCCGTCCTAGAATATGGATAAAATAAGATTTATGGGTAAATCTCTGTCTTAGCGATGCATGGGACATAGCTTGGTTTGTTTTTCAGGTTTTTGAACTTTTAAAAAACAAACAAACAGAGAGTATACTACTTACATATATAGATATATATATATATATAGACAAACCTTGTCGAATAGATTAAAAACTTCTTGAAATACATCCTCTTTATTTTCCTTATTTTCAGGTTTTCTTGGAGACAGCATTTTTGATATTTTTGCAATGTTCTAAAATATTTTGTACAATAAAGTTGTATATCTTTGATATAGTTCTGAAACATATTAGTGCTAACAAACAATTGTTATATTTAACATATACATATTTCAGATTTAATATTGAAAATTATAATCCTCTCTGTAAAATAGTTAAATTCTATATTTTTCTCACGAAATGAGGTGCTTACACTTCTATACGTTGTCAGTATATAAAAGAGTTTTATAACAAAAAGTTGGCAGTTTCTTTTCCCCATTTTTCACTCTCTGCAGTATTTTATTGCAAGATTATTTAACAATCTGCACCATAATGGGAGACCTTTATATATCCTGAGTTCCTGGAGTTCTGTATATATCCTGGGTACCTGGAGTTCTGTGTATATCCTGGGTACCTGGAGTTCTGTATATATCCTGGGTACCTGGAGTTCTGTGTATATCCTGGGTACCTGGAGTCCTGTGTATATCCTGGGTCCTGGAGTTCTTTGTATATCCTGGGTACCTGGAATTCTGTGTATATCTGGTTACCTGGAGTCCTGTGTGTGTATATCCTGGTAACCTGGATTTCTGTGTATATCCTGGTTACCTGGAGTTCTGTGTATATCCTGGGTACCTGGAGTTCTGTGTATATCCTAGGTACTTGGAGTTCTGTATATATCCTGGGTACCTGGAGTTCTGTGTATATCCTGGGTACCTGGAGTTCTGTATATATCCTGGGTACCTGGAGTTCTGTATATATCCTGGGTACCTGGAGTTCTGTGGATATCCTGGTACCTGGAGTTCTGTGTATATCCTGGGTACCTGGAGTTCTTTGTATATCCTGGGTACCTGGAGTTCTGTGTAAATCTGGTTACCTGGAATCCTGTATATATCCTGGGTACCTGGAGTTCTGTGTATATCCTGGGAACCTGGATTTCTGTATATATCCTGGATACCTGGAGTTATGTGTATTTCCTGGGTACCTGGAGTTATGTGTATATCCTGGGTACCTGGAGTTCTGTGTATATCCTGGGTACCTGGAGTTCTGTGTATATCCTGGGTACCTGGAGTTCTGTGTATATCCTGGGTACCTGGAGTTCTGTGTATATCTGGTTACCTGGAGTTCTGTGTTTATCCTGGGTACCTGGAGCTCTGTATATATCATGGGTACCTGGAATCCTGTGTTTATCCTGTGTACCTGGAGTCTTGTGTATATCCTGGGTACCTGGAGTTCTGTGTATATCCTGGGTACCTGCAGGAGTTATGTGTATATCCTGGGTACTTGGAGTTCTTTGTATATCTGGTTACATGGAGTCCTGTGTATATCCTTGGTACCTGGAGTTCTGTGTATATCCTGGGTACCTGGAGTTCTGTAAAAATTCTGGGTACCTGAAATCCTGTGTTTATCCTGTGTACCTGGAGTCCTGTGTATATCCTGGGTACTTGGAGTTCAGTGTATATCCTGGGTACCTGGAGTCCTGTGTATATTCTTGGTACCTAGAGTTCTGTGTTCATCCTGGGTACCTGGAGTCCTGTATATATATCCTGGGTACCTTGAGCCCTGTATATATCCTGGGTACCTGGAGTCCCGTATATATCCTGGGTACTTGTAGTCTTGTGAATATCCTGTGCACCTAGAGTACTGTGTATATCTGTGTACCTGGAGTAAAACTATTTGTTTGATTGCATGATCAAGGGTCTTCTTCTATCCTCATCCAACTTGACATTGTATCCCCTCTAGAGACAACTAAGAGACCGTTCATTTACCAATAGAAAGGGGAAGCTAAGAGGAGTCAAGTAGTTAATAACATTTACAAAGTAGTTTTAATTTTATTTTTATCATTAGTTCAACCAAAGTTTTAATACGACTAATTTATCATTTAATTTGAGAAAGTTCAAACTTTTTCTCTCTATTTTGTACCAGGCTGATTTTTATGATTAATGATAAATCATGTATTGTTTAGAACAACGATAATACTCACCCTGTTTACTTCCTGTTGCAAGCATGACAATTATATTTTTAGCTATACGTAAGGCGCTTGTCTGGTCGGCCCAGCTAGTCCAGTAGCCAGGTCGGCCCGGCTAGTCCAATGACTAGTCGGCCTAGCTAGTGGACTGTTCTTGTCGTGCAGGCCAGTGGATCGGACTGGTCGGCCCGGCTACTGGATCGGAATAGTCGGGGTAGGGAGAAAGTAGACCCGGTTAGAAACAGCTGTGTATGGGTCAGCTCCTCTTCTTTCTATCCTAAATTCTTCGTTAGACCCGGAACACTGCTGCAACAATGGTGAATAAGGATGAAAATAAATCTGTGGAAAAGGAAACTGAAAGTAAAACAGAAGTGAAAAAGGAAAATGATATTAAACCAGAAAAGAACGGAGATGAGAAGGTTGAGAACGAGAAAAATGGGGAAGAAAAGGTTGAAAATGGAAAGAGCGAAGAGGGAAAGGTGGTAAACGGAAAAACTGAAGAACCTGAGAAAACCTACGGCGATCCATCGGTAAGTTAAAAAAAAAAATAGGCATTATTGAAAAGGAGAATAGTTCTCTCTTCTAAATCTGTTCTCACACATTATTTTTTTCAGGCACTCATGCATTATCTAATTTAGATATATAACATTTAAACTATTTCAATACAGTTAAAGGAAACTGTGAATTTAAAAGATTAATTTTAATAATTGAAGATCAACGTTGCAAGTGACATCAAGAGAATTAAAAAATGTCCCCAGATTCATAATTTGTTGACTATATACTCCTTATCTGCTCGACGCAATAAAAAAAACACCAAGGAATCAAGTTTATGCCATAAACACAAGTTTTCTAATCTCTTTATCCTTCTAACCTGATAGTGTAACCTTTGATATTTCAAGCTTAGACTATTTGATAAAATAAAATTCATAGTTTGAAATATCTAAAACATTGGGTGTAATGTTGCAAAGATATGGGGATTGGAAAATCACAGTTTGTGGCAAAGATTCAATTAACCTTTTCTCAGTAGAGAAGACAAGGGTTTGATTAAAATTATGTTAAAACCTGTTTATAGTGAACAAACTCTTTAAAATTTATTTTCCAGCGAATATAATTCTGATTAAATTTACAGGTTTGCTTCCTCTGCGGTATTCCCAGCACCACTAAATGCAAGGAATTCAAAATATAAACAAATACAATATCGATTTAAAAATAACAAAAAAAGATTATTAGAGGTTTTTATGAGCCTTTTTATGCATTTTGTTATTTTGAAGGATAAAAAGTGTAAAAAAGACTCCTCCATAAGGAAAGAAGCTACAGGGTGTCTCACGAAACACGTCAATTGAGTAACGACTTGAAGGTCGTCTTTGGTCATAAAAATAATTCCTCCACTTATTTTATGATTTTTGACACAATAACCACAAAATACCCCGAGTCCGAATTTAAAGAATTTGGGTCGCGGCTTAAATTTGAGTCGCGGCTTAAATATGGTTGGTTCCACTTAAAACTGTATTCAATGTTTCAAGATTTTAGCCGGCGCTCAATTAAAACCGGTTTTTAGCGGATTTAAGATGCGGCTGAAACTCTATAAATTATGACTCTGGTTTTCGTTTTTTATGCTTTCAATATTACCGAAAATATAAAGAATTGCGTAAAGATTTCAATTTTTTGAATAGAACCAAAAATGTCAAAATCTGAACAAAAATTTTCAGATCTGGTAATATTGAAAGCACAAAAAGAACAAAAAAGGGAGACCACATTTTGGAAATGCCATATGTCACTACTAAAAGAAGTGTCAGAATCTAACGAATTTAAGGCGCCGCCGCGTCTCAAATCCCCCAAACACCGGTTTCGATTGAGCGCCGGCTTCAATCTTGAAAAATTTATTACAAATTTAAAAGTGGAACCAACAAAATTTGAGCCGAGGCTTAAATTTAAACCTTGGCTCAAATTCATTAAATTCGGTCTCTGTTTTACGATGAAATGCCGCAAATAATCTCAAATATGAAAGACGACCTTTAAGTCATCTCTCAATTTTCAGGTTTCGTGGGATACCCTACTTAAAATGGGCCTAAACTTAAGACTAAAAAATGCAAGAAGGCTCTGAAGATCCTATAAACACATTTTTGGGGACACCCTGTATATTTTAAAAGTTTTTAATAAAACTGCAGTGCATAGATGTTTCATAAGTTTTATAATCAAATCAAAGTCTAAGTAATCTGAAAGAAAAACTATATCTTCAAACATCGGATTAGGTTTGTGGGTTGGTTGGATTTTGCTCTGATCAGCATCAGAGATTGCACAGGTTCAGTTCTTTACATATTTATATCACTCTATTTCTGATTTTTGTAATGATTCAGCTTCCAATATTATGTTTTTGATTATTCATGTCTTTTTCCAAGGAAATTCTTTAGTAATTGAAGTTAAACTATGAATTTTATGAACTTTTATTTTATGCTTTCAATATTTCTATACTTCAGCCCATACTCATAGGTTTTCAATTTCAACCTACTTGAATATAAATGGAATTGATTGAATTATTATTTGGTTTAGTCGATTAAAGTGATTAATTTTGTTATTCAAAGTAAAACACATGTTTAGACCAGAGAACTTCTGTTTTCCGTTCATGGTTGATTAATTGATACATGTATTTAATGCAGAATGCAGATACTCATTTTTCCAATCTTCTTGTTTCCTGGCTGTCCTGTTTTGCTCATTCAATTAGCTGCATACCCCCGCCCCCCCAGGAGGGTTAATATGCAGTTTCGAGAGCTGATCAGGCAATTTGTAGTATTTCAATATCAGCTCTTGAGTTTCTATATTTATTCCAGTCGTTTTTGATATCAGCAATCTATGCAGGTTTATTGCTGACATTGTTGTAATGAGAACTTCCCTTTGTCAGCTGCATTACATGTATCAACGTCTTGCAGTAAGTTAGAAAGAAATTAAAAGACCTCCTAGCCTTAACTGCATTCGGCTAGGTCCAAGGTGATTTGGGTGTACCCCCTAGGAAAGGAACACCCATGATACCAATGATGATCTCTCTCAGAAAGTTTTGATTAAGATTCCACAGCAAAGCAATTTCTGAGTTCCACTATATCTGCTCGTGAAGTAGGATAAGGTTGGAATTTAGGAGGTAGGCGGATGAGGATGGGGTTGTAAGGGTAACAGGTATGAGATATACCATAGTCCTCACTTTTAACGTGTATTCCCACGTGGACAGATTTTTTAAAGAAAAAATAACCCGCTAAGCATGCTGTCCCATCGCTTTAAAACACGGGGAGTGTGTCTTTTGCCTATCATTGTCAGAGGTCTTCCATGAGTAATCCAGTTTCCATTTTGAGAAGGGTGAAAAACCAGTTTATGGTATTTGATTTAAAGTCTATTGAAGGCTCTGTTCCCCCTTAAAACCTGTATCAGTGTGTACTTCATCCCTGATGTTTTGAGTTTCTGTATTCCTTCTGTATTCATCTTTATTACTATATCTTGTTCGGGATTAGTCACGCTTTCCACTCAGTAGTGGAGAGAAGTGTCCTTGCTATCTAGACTTCTATACAAGTACAACGCACATAGCGCCCTTTCTCTCAACAGGCTTAGAAAGCTCTGCTGACACCCTTCCTCTGCAAGGTTCGGATACACACTGAGGTATACAAAGGTTAACCAGAGACCTTGATTAGGACGGATACTGGTTGCAACCAGGTATATATAGGTTGAATAGTGATCTGGAGCAGGACCGATACTGATTCCGACTAGGTATTTAGGTTGAGCTGAGACCTGGTTTAGGACGAATACAGGTTGCAACAATTGGTATGTAAAGGTTGAGCAGAGACCTGGAGTAGGACGGACACTAACCTTACAGCAAGGTCTACTAATATTAAGCAGAGACATAGAGTAGGACGTATGCTGGTTGCAATAAGGTATATATAGGTTAAACAGAGACCTGGAGTAGACTGGTTGCAACCAGGTATATATATAGATAGAGCAGGGCCATGGAGTAAGACGTATACTGGCGACAACCAGGTATATATAGGTTATGGAAAGACGCGGAGTAGGACGAGTATTAGTGAAAACCAGGAAAATATAGGTTGAGCACTGAGCAGGAACTTGGAGTAGGACGGATATTGGTTGCAACCAGGCCATAAATTCTTTGGGACGTCCCAAGAACCTTGTTCATGGAGAGGTCCCTCCGTTCCTATTTTCTGGTTAAAAGTAGATAAAAAATGTACTTTTTTAAACCCTGATGATCTAAATAAAATTTTAATTTTTCCAGAGATATTGAGCCTCTGGAGTTGATAATGTGGGACGGAGCGGCAGCAATGGGACCCAGGAAACCAGTTTTAAACTTTTTTATTTTTTCTAATTTCATCTTAACGAAAGGTATTGAGTTCCTGCAACAAACTCAGATTTTCTTATTTCTTTATCTTTGCAAGCCGATGTCGTAGACCTCGATACTTCAAACTATAAATTATGTTAGATCCAATAATCTAAAGTTCAAAGGTCTACGCCACCAATTGTTGCAAAGATGTAGAGATGAGATAATTTGAGCTTGTAGTAAGAACTCAGTTCCTTTATTTTTAAATAATTTTGATAATTAGCACTAAGTTTAGAAACGTTTAATTAGAAGTTCCATGAAAAGTGAAAACTTACGAAATTTTTACATTTTCAGGATTTTTATATTCCCTATGTTATGCTTGAAGCTGCCTATGAAAAGAACCCAAATTGACCCTTTTATAACTTTCATAATATAAAAGTATGAAATTTTCCTATGAAGTAAACTTGTTGTTAAAAATGAACGACTAATATTGTAAAATGGTTTTGTTAGGATGGGAGGTGCTCCAGTATGTCTTCAATGCTTGAAACCAGCCAAGGTAAATACCATGCAGGCTCGGTTTGGAAAAACTGAACATTTGCCTCAAATTATAATTTTTAAATCATCATATCTTTGCAATTTGATAATGAAAACTTTTGCTATATTTTGATATTGATATGATAAGTAATTAGTTTCTTTACAAACTTCTCGACTGAATACCTATTGTAGAATTCTGTGCCCTAAAATAGTTGCAAACAATGGATTTCTACAAAGTCGTGAATATCAAATGTTTAAATTATTTTTGTTAAAAATTTGTTAGAGAAGAATATCTGAATGATCAAAATTCATTTCCTAAATAATATTTTTTTTTCAGTCTGATGTTCGGTGCGGGGATTGTGGTTGGCCAGTGTGCGGGGAGGAGTGTCAGAAAGGACACGCCCACCAGATAGAATGCCCTGTACTAGCTAAATCTAAGGAAAAGGTATACGCCCATCAGATAGAATGCCCTGTGCTAGCTAAATATAAGGAAAAGGTATACGCCCATTAGATAGAGTGCCCTGTACTAGCTAAATTTAAGGAAAAGGTATACGCCCACCAGATATACGCCTGATGCTCAAGATATATTTTACTATGTAAATATATTTCAGGTTGTTTTTGAAAATACATCTGAAGTTCAAGGTATATATCAAAGTATGTAAATATATTTCAGGTTGTTTTCCAAAATATATCTGAAGTTCAAGATATATGTCAAAGTATGTAAATATATTTCAGGTTGTTTTCCAAAATATATCTGAAGTTCAAGATATATGTCAAAGTATGTAAATATATTTCAGGTTGTTTTCAAGAATATATCTAAAGTTCAAGATATATATCTAAGAATGTAAATATTTCAGGTTGTTTTTGAGAATTTATCTGAGGTTCAAGATATATACAGAAGTATTGTACCTCTGAGACTTTTGATGGTTAAAAACAAGTTTCCGGAGGTAATCAGAATTAAAGGACCTATCGACGTAAACTGGTATCTATTATAGGGGATCGTTTAATGTAAACTAATTATTATTAAAGGGCTCCGTTAAAGGACTAAGGAATGTAAACTAGTATTTAATTAAGGGATTTTTAAAGTAAACTAATTATCATTAAAAGACCTATCGACTTTAAACTAATATCTATTAAAGGAACTGCTAACCTAAACTAATTATCATTAAGAGACCTATCGACGTAAACTAATATTTATTAAAGAGACTGCTAACGTAAACTAATTATCATTAAAGGACCAATCAACTTGAACTAATATCTATTAAAGGAACTGCTAACCTAAACTAATTATCATTAAAGGAACTATCGACGTAAACTAATATTTATTAAAGGGACTGCAGCTAACGTATACTAATCATCATTAAAGGAACTATAGACGTAAACTGATATTTATCAAAGGGATTGTAAACTAATTGTTATTAAAAGGATTGAAAACCAATATTTGTTAAAGGGATATTGTTATAGTAGGAAATGTGAACATAAACTAATATTTATTAAAGGGATTGTAAACTAATTGTTATAATAGGAATGTGAACGTAAACTAATATTTATTAAAGGGATTGTAAACTAATTTTTATCAAAGGAAATTTCAACATAAACCAATATTTATTAAAGGGATTGTAAACTAATTGTTATAATAGGAAATGTCAACGTAAACTAATATTTATTAAAGTGATTGTAAACTAATTGTTATTAAAGGAAATGTCAACGTAAACCAATATTTATTAAAGGGATTGTAAACTAATAATTGTTATTAAAGAAAATGTCAACGTAAACCAATATTTATTAAAGGGATTATAAACTAATTGTTATTAAAGGAAATGTTAACGTAAAACAATTTTAATTAAAGGGATTGTTTGAACGGAGCTCTAGTAAAAACTATAAGTATAAGACGATTGTTACAAAATATTGATTTGTTTCTAGGTTTGGGAGAGGATGTCCTATTTGATGGACCACAATGAGAATAGAATGAAGGATGCTGAAATGTGGGGAAAATATCAGACTTCTGTCAATCAGTGAGTTTAAAATGTTGAAAATTAAACCAATAAAAGTTTAAGTAAAAACTTTCAAAAAACTATAATAAAACAACCTTTCCGGGAATTCAGTCCCAACCCGCATGAGTGTCATCTATAATTTATACTCTTTGTTTAAATGTTTTGCACGTACCGATGATTTTGAAAAATCTACAGGGTGTCCCAAAAAACGATTTTTAAGACATTGTAGACCTCACTATGGTTCAATTTTTTAAAATTTGTACATTTTTGAAATCTTTGTAACATTTCCGATCGATTGAAACCAGTAAGAGGTTCATAGCACTAAAATGAAGGTAGTATTGACCGTTTGAAGTTTGCTATTTTGGCTGGGTTGAAAATCCAGGTACAAAACTGTATCCTTCTTGGTAAATCTTCAGGTCTAAGTTCCTCCCTTCTGATTGGCCAAGGGGTGATATTTCATATTACTTGCTATCCCTGACCTAGCTGGACTTGCCTAACATCAAAGAGTTTCTTCTTGCAGAACTCATAATAAAAGTATTTTTATCTCCAATCTGTTTGACAGCATCTCTGTTCATCACTGCAGCTACCCTGACAACATTTCTAGGAGTTCTGACATGTCGGGATCTTCCACTGGATGTATTTCCAGGACTCGTTTTACTATTCACAATGAGTACTGTCCCTTACTCTATTACTTTTTTATAAATTCTTCTGACATGACATATTGCAGGCTGTCTTGCATTTGGAAATTTGCGCCCGAAGTCCATGATAAGACCAGGCATAACCTTTAGTTCTGTGACCCTTTCTTTTGTGGTACTCAACATCAAGGAATTATATTACTTTCCTGTGTTGCAAACTTAGGTCTTGCCATTACTTAACAATAACTGCATTTTTAACATTTATTTAAAAGATTTGCACATTTTTCAGACCCTAATAAGATTCCATAATATGTTTAAAATTCTAAAAAAAAAATAATATATGAACTCAACCAAGCCAAAATGACAAACTTTAAACGGTCAATACTTTCTTAATTTTAGTGCTGCATACCTCTCATTGATATCAATCGATCGGAAATGTTCCAAAGATTTCAAAAATGTACACTTTTTTAAAAATTGAACCATAGTGAGTGCTACAATGTCTTAAAGATCGTTTTTTTGGACACCCTGTACTTCATTTTTAAAAATACCATTTATTTGGATCCAACTGTGCAGGTTTCTGAAAAACTGTGGAATGGAGTTTTCGGATGAAGAGATTGATCGAGCAGTTGGTTTACTCTGGACTAATTCATTTGCATGTGCTCAGGGAGGAGGGCAGGTAGGACGGTTCTAGCTCAGGGAGGAGGACAGGTAGGACGGTTCTAGCTCAGGGAGGACAGGTAGGACGGTTCTAGCTCAGGGAGGAGGACAGGTAGGACGGTTCTAGCTCAAGGAGGAGGACAGCTATGCCGGTTCTAGCTCAAGGAAGAGGACAGGTTGGGTGGTTCTAGCTCAGGGAGGAGGACAGGTATGACGGTTCTAGCTCAGGGAGAAGGACAGGTAGGACGGTTCTAGCTCATGGAGAAAGACAAGTAGAACGGTTAAATTTCCGGAAGGAGGGAAGGTATGACGCTTTTATCTCAGGGAGGAGGCCAGGTAGGACAGTTCTAGCTCAGGGAGGAGGACAGGTAGAACGGTTCTAGCTCAGGGAGGAGGACAGGTAGGACAGTTCTAGCTCAGGGAGGAGGACAGGTAGGATGGTTCTAGCTCAGTGAGTAGGACAGGTTTGACGGTTCTAGCTCAGGGAGAAGGACAGCTATGACGGTTCTAGCTCAAGGAGGAGGACAGGTAGGACGGTTCTAGCTCAGGGAGGATGGTAGGTAGGACGTTTCTAGCTAACGGAGGAGTACAGGTATGACGGTTCTAGCTTATGGAGAAGTACAAGTAGGACGGTTATATTTCAGCAAGGAGGGCAGGTAGGACAATTCTAGCTCTGGAAGGAGGACAGGTATAGGACGGCTTTGCTCAGGGAGAAGGGCAGGTATAGCTGCTCTAAATAATAAGATAATAAGACGAAAAGGAGACATAGACCTTAATTGAAAAACATATTCTAATTTTAGGCCATATTTCCGTCTTTCTCCTTCGCTTCTCACTCCTGTAGACCTAACTGCGCACACTCCGTCTTCCCAAACAAAACTCTGGCACTTCAAGCCAAAATCAAAATTCAGGTAATTTTCATTTTGGATATTCATTTCTATTTAAGATATTTATGGTTCAGATTCTACTTTCCTTGATGGTTCGTTGAAAAGAAAGTAAGATAAGATAATATAATATTTTTATTGAAAGTTATTTTTTGTCAAAAGTTTATAAGAAACTTATAATTCGCCACAAATTCTAATTTTCTTATTACAGTTCCTTTGTAACGTATCCTAAAAATTCGTNTTCAAAAAGCGTTCACTAGGACAGACCCAAAGATTATCAAAGGTTTACACCATCAGACTGCGAAGATATATAGAGTTTTCAAATCCTTTGCAAACTATCACACCAAAAAAAGAACCATGAGAAAATTTATTTTATTTATATAGTTTAGTGTTTTTTATATAATATATTTAATCATGCTCTCTAGGCTGGGGAGGAGTTTACTATTAGTTACATATCAACCTTACAGGTAAACGACGCAAAAACAAAATGTCGTCTTTTTCACATTTTTAATGATAGAGCTTGCACAAAATATCAGTATTATACGAATCAGGAGTGTTCATTGACTAAGATAAGCTTGGAAGAGAATTTTAGAGAAAAAAGTTAAATCGACCAAAAATGTTTCAATTCTTCATATATCCGTTTTACACTGAATATAGTGGAGTTCAGTATACGTCAGAAGTGTATATAAACAATGTATCTCTGAACTACAGGGTGTCCCACGAAACATGACAATAGGAAGACGACTTGAAAGTCGTCGTTGGTATTTGAATTTATTTGTGACATTTAGTCTTCTATCTACTTCAACATGTATGATTCTTGAAACAATTATCACATAATTCTCCTAGCCCTGGCATTTCCAAAAAGTGGTCTGCGCTTTTTGTGCTTTCAATATTACCGGAGATATAAAGAGTTTGGTTCAGATTTCAATTTTGTTAAATAAAAGCAAAATTGTCGAAATCTGAACGAAATTCTTCATATCTCGGGCAATATTGAAAGCACAAAAAAGGCAGACCACATTTTGGAAATGGCAGGACAAGGGAAATTTTGTGATTATTATCTCTAGAAATTTACTTCTAAAATTAAGTTGACAAATAAACGCAGCAAATTATATCAAAAATCAAGACGACATTCAAGTCGTCCTGCATACTGTCATGTTTCGTGGGACACCTGTATCTTATAATGCTATATACATTACAAAACCAACAAATAAAACCACGAAAGTTTTGAAAAATCCTTCCACATGGGTAAGCTTGTGGCTCATATGACCGTTCTGATCAGGCAAAATGTGATGTATATATATATGTTAAGAGATTATTGTTACAAAAAAAGAGTAAGATATAGTGATTACCAGAATAATGCGAAATAAAAGTTGGCTTTGTTAAATCTTTTATCTAAAACATGGCTAAAAATGTTAGCAGTTTCAACCGTTCTTGTTTAATCTTTGAATATTATCAGCGGGCATTTTTAGAGTTGAAACAATTTATAATTATTTGTTCATCAATTGTTTCCTCAGGGCATGTTGAAGCGAAGAACAAAGTTGAGAGAGAAATGGTTCTTTGACTGTTCCTGCTCCAGGTGCTCTGATCCTACAGAGCTCGGGAGCCATGCTTCCACTCTTCTCTGTCAGGTTCATCATCTTATAGAAATTCTAAATCATCCCAAACTCCAGGATATGCCATGGCCCATGACAGAAGGGCGAGATTTCACTTAAAATCCAGACCTGTTCTTAGTCATTGAGAAAATCTCGGAAATACAGGAAAATATCTTAAAATCCAATTTGAAAAAAAACTTGCAAAATCCAGAAAAATGCTCCATGAAATAAAGGGAGTGACCGGCAATGTATGGTAGTTAAAAGGTTCTGTTATTCTACACAGGTTTGCTTGAGTCCTGATGCCCTGCTCCTCAGTAAGGATGTTCTGGACCCCGTGGCCCCCTGGTATTGTACTAAATGTGATCTACAGATCAGAGCTGATGAGGTCAATGACATTGAAAATAGGTAAGATATCTGAGGAGGTCAATGACATTAGAAATAAGTAAGATATCTGAGGAGGTCAATGACATTGAAACTAGGTAAGATATATGGGAGGTCAATGACATTGAAAATAGGTAAGATATCTGATGAGGTCAATGACATTAAAAATTTGTAAAAATATTTGAGGAGTACTATAGAAATAAAAAATTCGAAAGTGAACAAAGAAGAACAATTATTAAGAGGTCAATGATGTTAAAACTACTTAACAAATCTGAAGAGGTCAATGACATAAATAAACAGATATAAAAATGTTGGAGTCTATGTTAAACAGAACAGGTATTTATATTTAAATTTTATAAGATATTCTGAAAAATAAGTATTTTTTAGGAGGTCGCTCATCAAATCTAGAAGCCACATTAAAGTAGTTAAGCTAACTATTTCTCTTGTACGAATGTTAAAATTGAAGAAAAGTGGTTCAAATAAGTCTATGGAGTTCACATTTGGTTCCTTTATTAACAGAAGTAAATATCTCATAAGGCATCATTTTCTCTGCAAGCTCATGATTTACTATCAATGTATTTACTATAAGTAAGAACCTGCACTAAAATGTAACTGCACTAAATGCATGAATTAAGTCTAAAATTATTATTTTTCAAACATTTATTTTTACATTTTTTTGCATTGTTAAGAATTGCTACGGATATGCAGAAGATAGAAACTACTAGCTTGGCTGGGTTCGAGACTATGCTAGAAACTGCAGGTGCTATACATATATATATATATACATATATATATATATATATATATATGCTTTAATATGGTTTAGGAAATAATTTTTCAGAATTGAATCAAAAAAAATCATTTCTTTGGCTTTCTTTTTTTAGAAAATTATAATATTCCTAAATATTGTCTGCATTTACCACTTAGGAACTTAACTACATCATAACCACTACCTAATAATATTCCTAAACATAACCTTTATTTAGGAACTGAACTACATCATAACCCCAATCTTGTAATATTCCTAAATAAAATCTATACTTAGGAACATAACTGCATCCTAACCACTACCTTATTATATTCCTAAATATAAACTATATTTTGGAACTGAACAGCATCCTAACCACTATCTAATTATATTCCTAAATATAATTTATATTTGGGAACTGAACTACATCCTAACCACTATCTAATTATATTCCTAAATATAATCTATATTTAGAAACTGAACTGCATCCTAACCACTACCTAATTATAATCCTAAATATAATCTATATTTAGAAACTGAACTGCATCCTAACCACTACCTAGTTATAATCCTAAATATAATCTATTTTTAGGAATTGAACTACATCCCAATTAACCACTACCTAATCATATTCCTACATATCTTATCTATATATAAATTTGGCTTGTCTGGGTGTCTGTTTGTCTGTTTGTTTGTTTGTTTGTATCCAATAAACGTCAAAACGGCTGAACCGATCGGGCCCAAATTTTTTGTGGGACATCTAGGGACTCCAGGGAAGGTTTATGAATCATCAAAATTTCAAATAATTGTCTCCATCAAAATTCGATCGTCATTAAATTTTTNTACTATTTTACTATTTTACTATTTTACTATTTTACTATTTTACTATTCTACTATTTTACTATTTTACTATTTTACTATTTAACTATTTTACTATTTTATTTTAAAAGGATTCAGAAATTATTTTCTTTCCTATTTCAGAAAAAATATTAAATTTTCTTTAAAAAAAGTTTGTTGTTTAGGTGAACAAGATGCTGGCTAAGAAGTATATGAACGATGGAACTATAAATGATCAGCAGTTTAAGGTAAACCATCATATTTCGGAATATAATGTTAAATACTTTTCATTTTCATTGTTAAGGAACATGGAATATGATATTGTAAGTTTTGTCCAGAAAAGTAATAAAATTCTTGGTGTTGGGATATATTTTTAAATAATAAAATCATAAAGGACCTTTCAAAGAACAGACAGTCCATAAATTGGACCGTACATAAATTAAACAGTTCATAAATTGGACAGTTCATAAATTGGACAGTTCATAAATTGAACAGTTCATAAATTGAACAGTTCATAAATTGGACAGTCCGTAAATTGAACAGTTAATAAATTGAACAGTTATAAATTGAACAGTCCATAAATCGGACAGTTCATAAATTGGACATTTCATAAATTGAACAGTTCATAAATTGAACAGTTCATAAATTGAACAGTTCATAAATTGGATATTTTATAAATGACCATTTTATAGATACGATATTTCATTGTTAAGGAACATGGAACATGATATTGTAAGTTTTTCTTCTTCAGAAAATTAATATAATTCTTGGTGTTGGGATATTTCATAGAAAAACTTTGTATAGATAATAAAATCATATATATAAGACCTTTCAAAGAACAGACAGTCCATAAATTGAACAGTTCATAAATTGAACAGTTCATAAATCGAACAATTTATAAATTGGACATTTCATAAATTAAACAATTCATAAATTGAACAATTTATAAATTGGACATTTCATAAATTGAACAGTTCATAAATTGAACAATTTATAAATTGAATATTTCATAAATTGAACAGATCATAAATTGAACAGTTCATAAATTGAACAGTTCATAAATTGAACAGTTCATAAATTGAACAGTTCATAAATTGAATCATAAATTGAACAGTTCATAAATTGAACAGTTCATAAATTGAACAGTTCATAAATTGAACAGTTCATAAATTGAATAGTTCATATATTGGACATGTTATTAATGGCCATTTTATAGATATGATATGTCATAGATAGGACATTTCATAAATTAGACATTTTTAGAATAAAATCCATCGGTAGGACGTTTCAGAGATAGGACATTTTATAGAGAAGACATTTCAGAGATAGAAAAATTCCTAGACAGAGTAAATAAGTTTCCTTATATCGTATATCTAGAGAGATACCTTCAGAAAAAGAAACACTTTACCTTCTCTATGAACAATCTTCTTTGTATTTCCTATTTATGAAATGTCCAGTCTCTGAAATATATCTCCATCTATTTAATATCTATAAAATGTTCCTAATGTGTTCAGGAACGGTTCCAGGAATGTGTAAATCCATCTATTTAATATCTATAAAATGTTCCTAATTTGTCAGGAACGGGTCCAGGAATGTGTAAATCCATCTATTTAATATTATTATCTATAAAATGTTCTTAACGTGTTCAGGAACGGGTCCAGGAATGTGTAAATCCATCTATTTAATATTATTATCTATAAAATGTTCCTAATTTGTCAGGAACGGGTCCAGGAATGTGTAAACCTGTTCCAAGAAGCTCAAAAATGCATGTTTGTCAGGAAACTTAAAACTACTAATTAATCATAAGTATTTTCATTGATTTTTATTACTAATTTTTATATTTAAATTCTTTTTAATTTTGAAAAATATGATTTTCCAAGCCTGAAGTTTAATGTTGTGAGTGTAGGCTGAAGAAGGACCCTAACACAGTATCCAAGTATGCAGTTGTACAAAGGAAGGATATTGACTGAAGAAGAAGTTCATAGTGTACACAAAACAATCTTTGTTATTTGGCCGGGTCAAGAGTCCGGTATCTTAAGAGCGGTATTAGCTAATACCGCTCTAATACCACTCTTAACACTAACACCGGTGTTTAGGAAATATGGATTCATAAGTCGCTAATGCTGCCTAATTTGTGGCAGGATTATCTAGCCTAGAACAGCTGATGCGTTCATAAGTCATCCTAGCTAAAACCAGGATTATCATCCAAACTTTACGGTTTTGACTCTTCTGCGCAACTCTTTTCTCTTCTCAACTTAATAATTTGTTAATAATTATAAAGACGACTTTTAAATAATACATTTTTTATTATATGACGAAAGATAGATTAAAAATTTATGAAAATATCTTGCAAACTAAACTTTTTACATTTCATTATCAAAGTTAAAAAATAAAAACTTTTCAATAAGATATATTTTTAGAAAAAAAATCTTTAATAAAGTTTTGCTCATAAAATGTTTTTTTTTGTATTCAACACATTTTATTAATATAGTTATGTAAGGAGGGTGGGGGAGGGGTCATTTTTCTGAATTAAGCAAAATAAGAAGTATTTCTTCGCTTTTTATGCATCCCTGTATTTTAAACATCCCTGTATTTCATGAGGTTGCGAGAATATCGAATCCAAACCAAATTAATACTGGTAGAACTGGTTATTTAGGGTAGATCATCCTACCTAAATCTACCCTGCGGGTAGATTAGTTAACACCGCTCTTAGTAAAACTGGCATTTCTGTTAATACCGGTATTAGCACAACTTATGAACGCGTAGGGTAGATGATCCTACCAACCAGGATTAGTTAAGAGTGCTATTAAGGGACTCTTGACCCGGCCTATTGTGTTGATAAAACTAATGTACAGTAGTCTAATTACGTCAAAGTTAAATGTGTACAAATTTCTATCATCCCATCCAATTACATACAGAGCGTCCCATATCATATTAGATTATCTCCAAGTTTTAACGCCAAAATAAACCCAAAATACTCGAAAAACTTCCACAAGAAAATTCTTACATTAGCCTTATATATTTTTTCAAAATAATTCATTCTTCTTAAATTTTCTAATTAGTCCCGAAAATCGCAATTTAGACCGATTGACGATCTAATATGATGTGGGACACCCTTGGGGCTCATAGAAAACAAGGCCTTTGGGTGAAAAATGTACACAGAGGTTTGAGATTTTGTGCAAATAACGGGTTTAAGGTTTGCAGCATATATATGTACAGTACTCACTTTGTATGATAAATTTTGTAATATGCTTGCCGTTAGGTATGAAAACTTATTTATTGGCGCATTTTAGAAATTAAAATAATCGTTTTTTTTAGTAAATCAAAGAGTAACTTTTAATTCTGAATGTTTTATTTAAATAAATTAACATTCTGCTGCAGTCGGTGGAATTATGTGTTGGTAGTGTAGGTCAAAATGGGATAAAATGAAATTAAAATCTAATTATTTTCAGACCATTTAAAGCTCAAGAATTATTGTTTTCACTTTTTATATGTTTATATCAGATTTTGTATTGTTATTGCTTGTACCAAAATGTTTAATAAAAGAGATAGTTATTAAAATTTATTTGAATACTGTTGTTTAAGCAGAAGTAACACCTAAACAGATGAACATCATACATATCTATAAAATTAATCTTAATTAATTGCAGTTTTTTTTACAAAATGACATAAAATTTTCCAGTTTGGTTGTCACAATTTAAAGTTTATGTATTTGATCATTTAGCATGATCAATTGCATCATAAAGCCCTCATTTGGAGCAATTGATCGAATACTCTTCACTTGATCAATGCTTTCCTGAAAAAAAAAGAATTTTATTGTCTCAAGGATACACAGTATCTCAAGCTTTTGTACTTAGAGTTTGATATAATGAGTAAAAGAACTTTGACACGTTGTTTTTGACATTTATAAATCAAAACAGAATTATTTCGATGAAACTTAAATTTCAGTTGTTTACATTTATTTCCTATATTTTGGTTTAGAATAAGTATTAACCTTGATTGTGAGATTTTTCTTCATCATCATATACGCTAGAACTATAGTTGCAGATCTACTGATCCCCTGTAATATATAGTACTAATTAATATTTTCATTCATTAGATTAGATTATTCAGAAAGAATTGATATATATTTACAGTATTCATTATTTTCATATTATATATAGATATATATATAGTCTTCATTATTTTCATATTATATATAGATATATATATATGGTCTTTATTTTTTTTTCATACTATATATAGATATATGTAATAAATATCGTTTAACACGATATTGATAAACATGACCTACACTACATGATTAAAATATGCATTGTGAATAGATTAACTACGTTTATATCTATCCATGTTAATCTTCTAAGATGTACACAACCTAAACTATGCTATAGACATGTGTGGAGATAGCTTAACTGCGTTATATCTATTCTCTCTAATCTTATAAATACATACATTAAACTTAAACTGCGCTGAATATATATATCAACATAGAACTTGTAATTACACCAACTCACGTTAACTTGTAACATAGAATATCTAAAATAAATTAGTTGATATAGACACTCCACTTTGATTTCAGTGTTGAGAGTAATTTGGTTCTTGCTAAAACATAGGAGCTGAGATCGTGCCATTGGTTAAGCATTGATAGGTTACAAGCTTGTGTCCGCGTTAACATTGATAGCTGGCGAGATTGTGCTAATTGGTTTGGCACTGACAGATTACAAGCTTGTGTCCGTGTCGACATTGATAGCTGATGAGGTCGTGTCTTGTTTGACATTGATAGCAAAGTTATATTAAGCAGTGCTTGGATTTATAACGTTCTGGACAAAGTTTTAAGAGTACGGCATTTACTACATATATATATTTAGTCTTCATTTTTAACCAAAAATCGTATTTATTATAAATCCTGAGGCTACGATTTTGAAAGCTTAGTATCAAAACAGTGATTCAAAAGTTGCAAACTCTTACGAAAAAAACGATTCAAATTTAGCCAATAACTTTCTTTAAACCTAAAGCCAAAAACAAGTACTTTTAAAGGATCTAAAATATCTATGTCTAGGGGCAACAAACAAAGTGAGTTAATGAGGTAGAATCAAATTTTTTGTCAAAGTCATTTATCATTTTTAAAATTTTAAGTTTTAAAATGTACACCTTATATCTTTGTTTACAAATTTCTAGTGTAATATTTAGAGCATGATGTTATATATAGAGTATGATCATATACTGGAAAACCCTTCAACCCTTTCTCCTGCTCTGAGTGGAGTAGAGAACCTTAAGAATAAGACATGTCCAGGGCAAACAAGTCCAATTGCAGTTCGGCTAGTTCAACTACAAGTCCAACTACAGTTTGGCTAGTTCAACTACAAGTCAGGGCAACTTCTCCAAATGGTTCAATGAACAGAAACAATGAAGATACAGAACAACCAAGATGTACAAATAGAAGAGAACTAGACTGTCTCGACAATATACTAGGAGTTGCTCTATACTCTATATTCTATACAAGAACCCAATCTTGGTTGTGGCCAGGAGCAGCTAAAATATCAGTATAGCTCAATGACTCCAGAAGAGGAGGAAATCTTGAGGATCTATGAGGACGAGATCTATTATCCTCCAGATATGACTGAGAAACCAGGAAGTTTATTAATCACAGGATCTAATGTTAGACCTGGGGAAAACTGCTCTTTACATACAGCTCCCCAAGAACCAGTTGTGGAAACATCAGACTCAGATTCAGAGTTAGAAGAACTCCTCAGAGATACTCCAGAACCAGGTACTCCTTCAATCTCTGACTCTAGAGTATCCTTTAACTCCAGGAGCAGCTAGGATAGGATAGGATATGAAACAGCAGAAGATATGGAAGATAATGTTGATGAACTATACAAGCTATAGTTGAAGAACAGCTGCCTTGGTTAAAGGATGATATATCCTCATCTGAATCCCCCAATCCTAGGTCTCCTAGTCCAGATATAGAACTAGAGGACTTTTCTGAATCTGAGGAAGCTGCTTAGGGCGAGCTGCTGAATAAAGTATTTGAGTTTAGAAATCCTGAATTGGTACAGTTAGATGAGATGGACGAAGCTAAGGAAGCTGTTCAGAGACATCCTGGTCTGGAGCATCTAAATGAGAGCTTCATGTTTGGAGATCCAGAGCAGCTAAATGAGATATCTGGATTCCGGTAAGCTGCTCAGACAACCCCGGAACTTGGACAGTTAAATGAAGGACTTCCTGAAAGAGAGGTTTTAAGGATTGCATAAGTATCTCAAGACTAGACAGAGAATTGCAACAATTGAGGAGCAGCTCAGGACTTATGACCTTCTCTGGTTTGTCTTACTTCCGCTGGACTCTTTAAACCACAGCCTGGATTAGCTGGAGCATTGATTGAGCTAAATATACTCAAGGACCTTATAGATGGACAGAGGGCTAACCTACTGCATCTAGCTCAAGGACCTTTTAGATGGACAGAGGACTAACGTACTGAATCTAGCTGAAGTGTGGTCTTCTAAAAACACATAAGAAGCTGATTAAAACAAAAAGAACCCTAAACAGATGTATTTAGACAAATAAACTAATAAGCTGATAAATCCCATTCATTCATACTCTGAGGAGATGAGCATTAATGGGGTTTATGAAACAAAGTACAGAGACCTAGAGAAAGACGGTTGTACACGCCCTAAGCAGAGGGAGTAAATGATTGATCTCGAAAATACCTAAGATTTATATCTGTAATTGTAATCGATTGAATAGCTCTAATCATTACACTAGTTTGTTAGTTTTTGAAAAGTTTACAATTATAATATTTCTATCTAACCCAAGGAGTATGGACTAAAAGGGAGATACAACTGACGTGGCCCGCCCTTCCATATATTTATGCATGCTTTGTAGACGGGTACTCCATTTGTATAAGAAATAGTCAGAATAGGTTATTGTATACCCGGTAATTGTACATCAGACAAATATTTTTTATTCAAATGGAGTACCCGTCTGCAAAGCATGTATAATCATATGGAAGGGCGGGCCGGGTCAGTTGTATCTCCCTTCTATTCCTTAAGGACTCCTTGATCTAACCTGAACACAATGAACTAAAACTTTTCCTTCTGAACCAACGATCTTCTGAACAAAAAATGATGAAATACAAAAATAATAATAAAGATTTTTTTAAGTGGAACACAAACATATTTACTTTCGTTAAAGTTATATCTAACTATTTTCTTTACGATAAAAAAAATTTCAAAATTACATTAAAGTTCAAGTATTTTCATATTTAATAAAACAACTTGTAACAATATTTTCTATGCCTCAGTTAAGTATGTTATTTTGGGTGCCATATTTACTTATGTACAATTGTAAAGTTTTAACCAGAAAGCAGTTACATTAAGACTATGAAAAAAAATTTGCCAGACACCCCCCCCTCAAATAAAAAATATCCCTATATGCAAGATAAAAGAAAGCATCGTGAATTCATCAAGTTCATCTTAGTAAACTTCAATGTCGTCTAAATCTAGAATGTCGTCTGTATTTTGTACCTGGATAAAATCAGCTGCTACATTGAAATGTTGAGATATGTCGTAGGATGGAAGATCAACTGCTGGTAGACCCAGGAAGTCCATATTCACCATCTGAAAGAGTTTGCATAACAAATAAATATTTAATAATTTTTTTTATTTTTGTTAAAAACCCTTAAAAGCTTAAGTTCAGAACATTTAAAGCTTGGACACTTGGATATAAACAGTATTGAAAAGAAGAAAACTAGGACTTCAAAAACTATTTCGAATTTTTAGTAAAATGATTTAATTACTTGGACTGAAATTTTTAATACCCAGGCAATCCTTAATATTTCATAGTATAAATTTTCAGTTGAAAATATAACAATGCAGCTGATATATTTTAAAGTTTATATCACACAAGTTGTCTTGTAAAGAGGACAAACTAGGGAAAAAGTCCTGACTAAACAATGTTTATTGAAGAAAATATACACCACAAATTAACTTCAGATAAAATGTCGAGACTTTTTTTCCTTTGTTAGCAATTTATTAATCTGTTACCTTGTAGTAAGCAGGTCCTGTGTTAACATAATTCCATTCTGTTAACTCCCCTTGCCCACAGTTAACCACCGCTGTAACTCCCATTTCTTTTAGAATTCTGAACATGCAATTTATCTGAGAGTTTGTATTTTGATTTGTACACGCAAATATATTTTTTTGCGTGGAAAAGTTTTCTAATTTTTAAAGTACAATTTCTAGATTTACGATTGATTTACCCGTTAACCTTGATATTTTACACCTCCATAAAGCCAATCATGAAAGACCATTGAGAGCTGGATTTGCAAAATACCGGCCAACAGGAAAACCAGATGACCGGCTTGCGCTATGTACGTTGAAATCTAAAAATGTTTTTGATCTATCCAACATTCTTGGTCTTTTAGCTTCAGGGTTACACACAAAAAATGAGACGATACAAAGGTTTGCTTGATATAAAAGAAAGAAATCAGTTTTATGGTTTAGCAGAGTTCATCTATATAACGACATTTTTAATTTTCTGTTTGAAATACCTGGTACATAATGCAGTAGGAGCATCCCCTAGATATACTCCAGGATACACGAGATCTGCTCCATTCACAGGATAGTGCCATCTTCCTAGGTACATGGATATTGGATATATATATATATATATATATAGTAGAATATATATCATAGTTCCTTCACAGGATAGTGCCATCATCCTGGGTTCATGGATATTGGATATATATAATATATATATATTTTGTAGAATATGTATCATAGTCCCTTCATAGGATAGTGCCATCTTCCTGGGTACATGGATATTGGATATATATAATATTTATATATTTAGTAGAATATGCATCATAGTCCCTTCACAGGCTAGTACCATCTTCCTAGGTACATGGATATTGGATATATATATATATATATATATATAGGAGAATATGTATCATAGTCTCTTCACAGGATAGTGCCATCTTCCTAGGTATATGGATATTGGATATATATAGTAGAATATGTATCATGGTTCATTAAAGGCTAGAAACAATGGTTACCTTTACTATTTCTTAGCCAATCTATTGCTATAGGAACAGGAACGGATAAGATAGGACCCAGAGCAGATCTACAGGATCTTTGAATAAATTTAAGGTTTAAGTTTTTTCTTATAACAGCCACAAAAAGTAAACAATAAAAATCTCAAATGCATAGGAATTGAGTCTTTGCCACAAACTCTAATGTTCTAATCTCTACATCTTTTCAACCCAAAGTCGTAGACTTTAGACATTTCGCACTATGAATTCTGATAGATCAAAGAGTATAAGCTTGAAATATCAAAGATTTTCATTATCAGGTTGCAAAGATATAGCGATTATAAAATTTGAGTTAGTGGCAAATACTGAATTCTTTTACTCAGAATTGGTTTAATCTCTATCTCTCCCAGCTAGCATAGGACTTCCATGATGGAGCACTTACAAAACGTTACCCAATGAAGGTTTCCTGCACAAAATGTTTCCTCACAAAACATTTCCGCCACAATACGTTTCCTATTCAAAATTTTTCCTTTACAAAAAGTTTCTCTTATCAAACGTTTCCTTTAAAAATGTTTCCTATCACAAAATGTTTCTTTTTCCTTTACAAAAAGATTCTCTTATCAAACGTTTCTTTTAAATATGTTTCCTGTCACAAAATGTTTCCTATCACAAAATGTTTCCTGTCACAAAATGTTTCCTATCACAAAATGTTTCCTGTCACAAAATATGAACTACTCAAAATGTTTCCACTGAATGATTGTTTCTTAATTCGGTTTTATCATTATTAAAGACAATTACATATAGCTTTAGTAGTTCACACATTTATGTTTTTTCAATCACCTTCGGGAATATCATCAATTCTCTACTTTAATTTTTTCATAAACAAACATATAGCTGGAAACATTTATAATAGTAAACCTTGTGTAGCAGAAGGAGACCTTTTGTGGAGGAAACATTTCTTAGCAGGAGGAGTCATTTTGTGGAGGAAACATTTTGTAGCAAGAGGAGACGTTTTGTGGAGGAAACGTTTTGTAGCAGGAGGAGATATTTTGTGGAGGAAACATTTCTTAGCAGAAGGAGACATTTTGTGGAGGAAAATTCTCATGGAGAAAACATATTGTAGCAGGAGGAAACTTTTTGTGGAGAAAACATTTTGTAGCAGGAGAAGAGACCTTTTGTGGAGGAAACATTCCTTAGCAGGAGGAGACATTTTGTAGAGGAAAAATTTCTTAGCAGGAGGAGACATTTTGTGGAGGAAACATTATGTAGCAGGAGAAGACATTTTGTGGAGGGAACATTTTTAACAGAAGGAGGCCTTTTGTGGAGGAAACATTTCTTAGCAAGAGGAAACATTTTGTGGAGGAAACATTTCTTAGCAGGAGGAGACATTTTGTAGAGGAAACATTTCTTAGGAGGAGAAGACATTTTGTGGAGGAAACATTTTTAACAGGAGGAGACCTTTTTTGGAGGAAACAATTCTTAGCAGGAGGAGAAAATTTGTAGAGGAAACATATCTAAGCAGGAGCTGAGACGTTTTGTGGAGGAAACATTTTTAACAGGAAATATTTAGTAAAAGAAACTTTTGTAGCAGGAGTCATTTTGAGGAGGAAACGTTTTATGGGGAAACATTTTAAGTGGGGAAATCTTTTATGGGAAAACTTTTTGTAAGTGCTCAATTATAATACAAGGTGTCCTACAAAACATAACAATTGAGATAGACGATTTAATTTTTTTTCAGGTAATTGAAAAACAGAAATCAAGCAGACTACATTTTTTAAATGCCAAGATCAGTACTATAGTCATTTTTTTGCAATTTCTGTTAAATTGGAATTATTAATATAACATTATATCTTTTGAGTGTGTAAAAATATACGAATATTTATATACATTAATTAAAGTTGAAATTTTACTTCAGTTCTTATATTGCTGAATATACAGAATACTGATCTAAAAAAAACAAGTTTACTGCTGCAAGGATCTATGAATATACAGAATATCTCTGTACTGTATGTTTACCTTGTGTTTAGAACAGGTTTACTCTGTTCCTCTTCTCCCAGCAAAGGATAATGCTTCTTGTCAAAATGTCTTTTAAACCTTTGAAAAATATAATGTAAGAATTTTCTTGTCAGGATGCATTATTGTGATGTTAAAGAGATATTAGAAGTAGTTTTTGATATTTCTATCAATAAATGACTGAAAAGAATGATACGTTAGAACTTTCTTACATTATTTAGTAAATTTTTATCATTGTTATTGTCAAAATTTAAGAAAATTTTTAATTCTTGAATTTCTTTCCTGACAGTCCCAGCAACTGCAATATCACTACTGGTTCCTAAAGAGTCCATTCTAGAGGGTAGGTAGATTACTAGACAGATTTACTCCGGGTAGGTGGATTGCTAGACAGATTTACTCCGGGTAGGAAGATTACTAGACAGATTTACTCCGGGTAGGTAGAATCACTGGAGGTGATGGAGGATTTAATGTCCACAGAATGTAATCAAGAAGATTCACTTAAATTCCTTGAATGTATGGTTTTGTCCAGGTAGACGAAGGATTAAACGAAATAGATTAGTCAGATTGATTTCAGGATTGAAAGAAATTTTTCTTTAAATCTTTCCTAATCTACACACCTCATTCTTTTTGTCTCTAAAACTGATATGTTCAAGTGAAACTAATTTTTACAACGCAAAGGCACAAATGTATATTAATAAAGGATTATGAATACTGTATCAAGGAAGATATGTTTGTATGTGAGCTGACCGTAAACTACTGCTACTACTCCTATATAAAGATTGTCTCGGATTATGCAATAAACTAAACTCTAGAGGTCACAGTAACTTCAAGAGAAAGGAAATCCAGATAAATCTTGTTTTAACAAAACAGAAAATAGATTCTTCTCTGTAAATAAAGGAACTAATAACTTACCTCAAACTCTAATGTTGTAGACCTTTGATATTTCAAGATATATTTTGCCAGATCTGACAGTGGGCATGTTAAAATATTCAAGGTGTTCACCATCAGGTTTAAAAGGTATAAGGATTAGAAAACTAGAATTTGAAGGAGGGAATTCAAAATCAAAAGCAAGGGCAAATACAGACATACAACTCTGGAAGATGGGGGGGGGGGGGCAACATTTTACCTTAAATTGAAAACATTTGGTTTAAAAATCAGGCACATACAATACGCTTTAAGGCCCATTTCCTTGCAAGTCCCACTTTATCTCCCCGTCAAATGAAAATTTGTCTAATAAACTAAAAATAAATAATTTAGCTTTCGCTTAAAATCTTTGAATTAAAAACTTTAAATATTAAAGATCCTAACATTAATTACCATTTTGAACGTTCTATTGTGCAGAAGTATAGAAATACAATAAAATAAGAAAAGATAACAATACAGATCTTTTATGCATGGAAGTAAAGAAATTTCCTATCTATAAAATGTCCTTTCTTTGAAATGTCCTCCCAATGAATTTATTTTTCTCTGAAATGTCATAACTATGAAATGTCCTATCTATAAAGTGTCCTATCTATGAAAAGGATCCTATCTATGAAATGTCCTGTCAATTAAATCTATGATTTATCTATGATTCGGTGTTATATGAAGTGTCCATGACGTTTTTTTGACCACCTGGCAGTCAAATAAACGTCCTTTAACCCTATCCCCGCTGGGGTACTTGAAAACCAGGATACGCTGGGAGGGGGGGGCAATTTGACCCCCCCCCCCCTCTAAATCCCATGTTTGATGTCCAAATATGACAAATGATACATCATTGGAAAGCTCTTGTGCTCTACTTTTAGAATCTGCAAAAAAATTAGGGAATAAGGTTAAAGTATATAGTATATGAAACATGTAAATTTTTATATTGCTGAATATACAGAATACTGATCTAAAAAAAACAAGTTTACTGCTGCAAGGATCTATGAATATACAGAATATCTCTGTACTGTATGTTTACCTTGTGTTTAGAACAGGTTTACTTTAAAATGTGATAAACAGAATAAAAAGAAATAAAGCCACTGTTCATTTCAAGAACTTGGCCGACCTATAACCAGATAGAATATTCTTTCCCTTTGCAGTTTTGTTTGGCCCCGCTCATTAGAATTTCCCTAGAAGGTCTGGCTCATTATGAAATATCAACTATATACGAATACGTCGACAAATTATCGATGATTATAGGTAGTAATATCCGAATGATTTATTTGGAATTAAATTTAAAATTAACTTAAATTAAATTAAATTGTAACGCTACGTTCTTCGATGAGTTGTTTTTAACAATTTTCTCCTTATAGACGCAACGGATAGAAGTAAGCGATCACCAACTTAAGCCTATACCCCCTTTCATTTTTCACGAACACTCCCTTTAAGCATACCCCTCTCCCCCCATACACATATTAAGCAAATACGACTCGCTCCCCCCCCCCTCCCCCCGAACCTTTTCTATAAGAATAAAGTCTATTGATTACGGTGCAGGATTTACATATTTTTCTAGAAGAAGTATAAAAGAATCAAAATGCCCTTTAAAATTAACAACTTTAACAAAATTTTTGTTAAGTTTGATGGATTATATAAAAACTATTTGCGTTGTTTCCATTTTTTAGGACATTCTGACTCTGTATGTCTCCTGATCTGTGTATATGCAGTTCCTTTGAATCCTTAGAAGTGCAGTGCATTAGAGACAATGATACAGAAAAGAAACCCTCCCATTCTCTCCAGTCTCTACTTTATACTAGAGAAACCTTGTTATGGTCTTTACTTCTTATTATAATATAGTTCTTAAATTGTAGGAGTTTTTCATGCGAGAGGTTTCTTCTCAAAGTAATAACTAAATCTGGATTGTATTATTATTCTCTTCCTGTTCCTGCTCTCTTTCTTTCTCTCTCTGGACTATACTGCAGGTCTGGGGGTAGAAGAGGATTAAACTTTGTCTCAGTTTCACTCTCTGCTCTGTGTACTTGACACATCACGAGGAGGGGTCCAAACCTAATTATGACGAAAGTTATTAACCAGTTTTTATTTTAAAACTATGTTTGCAACCTCTAATTGACATATAAGATTACTTAGAATATTCTTTCCCTTTGCAGTTTTGTTTGGCCCCGCTCATTAGAATTTCCCTAGAAGGTCTGGCTCATTTAGTGTACTGTACGGGGGCGGAAACGTCATGGATGTGTGTCTGTACCAAAACAGTGTGTGTAAGTAATACCGAACCGAAGGCGTGTACTGAAGGTATATACAGTACATAAGAATCTCGGTATTTGTACAGTCTAGGAGAGTACATTTGTTTATTGTTTATTGTTTACTTAAAAATAAGTTTAATATACATTTACTATATTATTTATTTATTTAAGTCAACACTATAAGCCAAATTGTCATGCAAAGAATATAATTTATTCAATCTTAACTATAATTGGCAACATTGTTCTGCAATTTCTTTGACTGTAGGGCGTAGGCATGTTGTGTGTCTGTACCAAAAGAGTGTGCGTGTGTAATAACGAACTCGTCTGCAAAGGGGTGTGACTGACCATGCCAGACCAGTGCCATTTCCCTTCCCTTTATTCTTATTCCCTGGTACTGTCTCGTTTTGTCTGGTATAATCTGTGTGTATACTGTACAGCTTGCTCTATCTGGTTATAGGTCGGCCAAGTTCTTGAAATGAACAGTGGCTTTATTTCTTTTTATTCTGTTTATCACATTTTAAATTTTCCAGAAGTAACCAGGACTAGAATGGATTGGATGGGAGAGAGCTTAGATCAGTGTGTAGAGGATGCATGTGGAGACTCCTGCTCTTCCAGGGACATGGATATGTGTGATCAGGTTTGTTCCAGATCAACTCCGTTCCAGCTATTTTCCTTTATGAGTATTGCCATCTGGGAAGTGGAAAGTATATTTCACTCTACACTAGAATCAACTACTTCTTCGTTCAGTTTACTACAGATCACTGCAGTACACAGTACATACCTTTTCTTCAAATATCTAACTTTTTTAGACTTTTTAAGAAGCCACTTAAATGCCAATAAATCGTTAGCGTTTTAAAGAACAGATAAAACAGGTCGCCCAACCTGCAGTATTAGTTAATGGCTAGCTACCAAGGAGTATGAAATAGAAGGGAGATACAACTGACGCGGCCCGCCCTAGAAGGGAGATACAACTGACGCGGCTCGCCCTACCATATGATTATACATGCTTTGCAGACGGTACTCCGTTTGTATCAGAAATATTTGTCTGATGTACAATTACCGCGTATACAATAACCTATTCTGAATATTTCTTTTACAAATGGAGTACTCGTCTGCAAAGCATGTATAATGTCTTCACAATATATTTTTATTATCGATATTGGATAATTCCTGTATCATATTAAGTTTTGATAACGAAACTGTAGAATTTGGAACACTAAACATATTTAAAGATGTCCAAAGATTTAGATTATTGATAACAAATAAAATTGATAAAAACAAGAATAGCACTTTTTTATCAATCTCAAAGAACATTCTCAGAGATCAATGGCCAATTATAAGAAACAATTTACTAAATTATTCGGTTACGACTTATGCATCCCTTTATTTGCTTTTTTATCAAAATTGCTAATATGATATTACATCCCCAGCTATTACCAACTCTCTAGATTGACGGAGACCAGCATCTTGTAAACCTGATGGATAACTGGGGGTACGCCCCCCTTCATCCAGACAACCTGCCCTCCTTTCCACCCCTTCACAGGGGCGTACACCTTACAGTTGGGGCCTGTATACTTGTGGCAGGTTAGTTAATTTCCACCCCTCCTTGTCTGTGATCGAAAGGTTAAAAGATTTCACGCAAAGATCAATGCTAATTTTGCCAACTACATGCTGAAAACTGAAGCTCAAAGAACATGATTCTTAGTTCTAAAATGTATATGTCTAAGGCTACAAAAAAGTATAATGGATTTACTGAGTTGAAATCTAATGCTTTGCGACACTTAAAATCACTCTTGTCTGGATCTAAGTGAATGTTAGCTTTTAAAGTTGAAAGGATTTTTTCCCGATTTGATAACAATAACTTAAACAAATTTTGATTTTCTGTTTTTATTAAATTTAAAAATTAATTAAAAAAACTCTTTTTAAATATATATTTTTTTAATCTTGACCCTATAAAATTTCTCGCAATGGGGTCATGTCTTTTATGTGAGGCTTCAGAAAAATCTAGCTCTAGCAATTTGATCGTTTAGACGTATTAAGAGGAGGAACAAACATACCTGCAGATAGCACAAATATATAAATATTAGCTGAAGTGCCCGGCGTTGCCCGTGAAATAAAAAAAATCCATCTTAAAAAGAAAAATAATAACTATATCAAAAGATAAAAAAATCTTATAAACCCCCGGATCTCTACAACCATTTTTATGAAAAGACAGCATTTCACGTTTTTACAACCAACCCAGCTTTAAATATTAATTTCTATTGGTTCTAATTCGCTTTCTGTTTCTTTATACTGTACCAAGTAATATATAAATATTTCTTTTACTGTACTAGCTTAGGAACCCAGCTTTATCTGTATCTCGTTTATTTATCTATAAAAGCCCATGTACTCAAACTAATATGTTAAAACAAAGCTACGAACATTTTGTGATTTTAACAAGCACACACAAAAGAAAATTATCAAAGATGCACGGTGTATGTAAAAGTAGGGGGGAGGAGGTCAGTTGGATTAGGGTAGAGAGAGAAAACTTGCTCTCAACCTCCGTTAAATAGATGATCTTACTCTAGTCTTTACTTTACTTTCCTATATTAGATATTAATATTAAGAACATATCAAATAAAAATGGAGCCCTGCATAGTAGAAGAAAACTCATCCCGGAAATTGTTTTGCAACAATTAAAAACTTTTCGTCCCTTTTTGTCTTTCTTTTGTTTTTTCTTTTCTTCCTTCGTTATTCGTTATTCTTTAATATAACCTGTTGCACAGTTTTGAGTGGAAGAATCCATTTTGTGAACCAAGCATCGGAGATCTTTCATTCCTAGTTAATGTTACTGTTGGAGCAACAATCTTTACTGAAGGTTTGTAGTGAAACAAGTCCAATATTAGGTCTCGTCGTTCTCTCTCTAAAAAAAAAACAAAAAAAAACAGGGTACAGAATAGGTTATTTTACTAAGGTTACGCATATTTAAAAGTGTTATTGAATGTGTGAAGAACATTTCATATTTAAATCTTCCTATACTGTCCTAAAACCAGCTAAATTTTATCCCAACAAAGTTTTAAAATTAGAAATGCCTTTCGTTTTATTTTAATCTTATATAGAGGGTAGTGTTGCGGCGGGTGATAGGGGGGTGGGGGTAGTATCTGGGAAGTATATAACATCTATCAAGGTTTGCTGGGAAGTATGTAATATCTATCAAGGTTTGCTGGGAAGTATATGATATCTATCAAGGTTTGCTGGGAAGTATATCGTATCTCTTAAGGTTTGCTGGGAAGTATCTAATATCTATCAAGGTTTGTTGGGAAGTATATGATATCTATCAAGGTTTGCTGGGAAGTATATAATATCCATCAAGGTTTGCTGGGAAGTATATAATATATATCAAGGTTTGCTGGGAAGTATATAATATCTATCAAGGTTTGCTGGGAAGTATATGATATCTATCAAGGTTTGCTGGGAAGTATATAATATCTATCGAGGTTTGATGGGAAGTATATAACATCTTTCAAGGTTTGCTGAGAAGTATATAATATCTATCAAGGTTTGCTGGGAAGTATATAATATCTATAAAGGTTTGCTGGGAAGTATATAACATCTTTCAAGGTTTGCTGGGAAGTATATAATATCTATCAAGGTTTGCTGGGAAGTATATGATATCTATCAAGGTTTTGCTGGGAAGTATATAATATCTATCAAGGTTTGCTGGGAAGTATAAAATATCTATCAAGGTTTGCTAGGAAGTATATGATATCTATCAAGGTTTGCTGGGAAGTATATGATATCTATCAAGGTTTGCTAGGAAGTATATAATATCTATCAAGGTTTGTTGGGAAGTATATAATATCTATCAAGGTTTGCTAGGAAGTATTTCGAATGCCACTCTGATCTCTATACACTACAGACTCCGTCAACACATCCTTGATCCAACAGGTATAGTGTTTAAAGAAAAGATGTAGCATGGGTTAAATAATAGTGAAAGAAGTTAAAAGAAAACCAGAAATGTTTAGATTTAGTAAAGAACATATAGCAGGATTCAATATATAAACAGTGGTAGGCGATAATGTCAATATAATGAAGACGACTTTTTATCTAAGTTTTTGTTGTTATCAAGCTTTTTTCTAATTACAAGTTTACAAGTATAATTAACAGTTTCTCTTTGCATTCTGTTTGTGTATACATGCTGTTTAAAAGCTTGATATGAAACAAAATTGAAATCGAAATTCGTCTTCATTGTATTGGTATAATCGCCTACTACCGTTTTATATATATAAAAGTTTTATATATATTTGTTAGGCATTTTGTTGTTGAACTTCTGTATTGCGAACTTTCTAATGTGTGTTCTACAATTTCCTTTCTCTTCAACCAGTAGTTTCGTTGGCAGGTAACTAAACAGTAGTTTTGTTGAGAGGTACCCGACAGTAGTTTTGTTGGTACTTAAAAAATAAGTAGTTTCGTTGATAGTTAACAAACCAGTAGTTTTGTTGGTTGTTAACAAACCAGTAGTTTAGTTGGTAGTTAACAAACCAGTAGTTTTGTTGGTTGTTAACAAACCAGTAGTTTTGTTGGTACGTAACAAATAAGTAGTTTTGTTGATAGTTAACAAACCAGTAGTTTTGTTGGTACGTAACAAATAAGTAATTTTGTTGATAGTTAACAAACCAGTAGTTTTGTTGTTACGTAACAAATAAGTAGTTTTGTTGATAGTTAACAAACCAGTAGTTTTGTTGGTACGTAACAAATAAGTAGTTTCGTTGATAGTTATCAAACCAGTAGTTTTGTTAGTAGTTAACAAATCAGTTATAGTTTAGTTGGTAGTTAACAAACCAGTAGTTTAGTTGGTTGTTAATCCAGTAGTTTTTGGTAGTTCACAAACCAGTAGTTTAGATACTAGTTAACAAATCAGTAGTTTAGTTGGTAGTTAACAAACTAGTAGTTCAGTAAGTAGTTAACAAATAAGTAGTTTAGTTGGTAGTTAACAAACCAGTAATTTAGTTGATAGTTAACAAATCAGTAGTTTAGTTGGTAGTTAACAAACCAGTAGTTTAGTTAGTTTAAGAAATCAGTAGTTTGGTTGGTAGTTAACAAACCAGTAGTTTAGTTGATAAGTATTTGTGTTTCAATAATTCAACTGTTAATTGATTACAAAAATCAATGTTAAGAAAAGACGGCTTTTAACAAAAGTTTTTCCCTTTTCTGTTTATAGAATCTTAAAAAACATCAAATTTAAAATTTAGTAATTATTCAACATGAGATACCTGTCTTACTAAGAAATTATTTTTTTGTCACCAGCTCTGATTTTTTAATCCCTTTATCTTTACATCCTAATTTTGTATACCTTAGATATTTCAAGCTATGACTACTGACGTTAGATCAAATAATCTAAATTTTAAATATTACAGGTTTACACCATCAGAATGACAAAAATATAGGGATTGGAAATTTGTTTGGCCAAGACTCAAATCAACTATATTATTGTAGCTGGGTGTGGGGAGATACTGGTTGTCAACTGTACGCTGCTGCTGGATTCTTCCTTGGTATAGGAGTAATCTATGCTCTAGGAGTTCTCATAGTTGATAGATACACTCAGATAACATGTAAATATATCATCTTATTATTCAGTAGATCTTAACATTAAAGGGACTGTCACCGTAATTATACACTCAGATAACATGTAAATATATCATCTTATTATTCACTAGATCTTAACATTAAAAGGACTGTCACCGTAATTATAAGTGAACCCCCAGTGTAGCATAAACCCACGAGTCACTTTTATAGAGAAACCTCAATATCTCAATATTTTTTAAGAATAAAATTTAATAGGCCGTGCCTTTGTTAATAGGACATACAGCTCTTCATTTGAAGGGTCACTTGAAATTTTGTTAACAGTCCCTTTAAGACGATAAATATATATTTTTACAATATTTTATGAAACATAAACCCGAAACTGATATTTTGAAATTTAAAAAATTCTCAAAGTTTAAAATATAAACCCATTTACAATTAATAAACAATTTTGAAAATTAATGACGTCTTGATTGATCAAAATCATTAAATTAAAATAGAATATAAATTTAATACAATTATCAAGTTTAATCGAATTTTTAAAAGAATTTAAAATATATTATTATCAAAAACATCTATACTATAATGAATACAATGATAAAATAAATATTTAATTTTTTATTAATGATATTATCATTGTTATTGTGTTAATATTCTTTATCATAATTATAAGCTCAGTTTTCATTAATATATAATATATTTATATTAATATTTGATTGCTGAACAGATAATTCATTACAACGGTTCAGGCCCAGGCGCGTATAGAGGATTTCATCGGAGGGGGAGGGGGGGAGGGATTCAGGAAACTTATGACTGTAGGACGGATAAATTTTTCATATTATCTAGAGAACCGTAGACCATGTAGGACTAATATATCTTCATATTATCTAGGTTATGATAATTATTTAGTGAACCGTAGACCCTGTAAAACGAATATATCTCTCTGGTTTATGATAATTATCTAGTGAACCGTTGTAGTCCCTCTAAAACGGATATATCTCTCTGGTTCATGATAATTATCTAGTGAACCGTAGACCCTCTAAAACGGATATATCTCTCTGGTTCATGATAACTATCTAGTGAACCGTAGACCCTCTTAAACGGATATATATCTCTGGTTTATGATAATTATTTAGTGAACCGTAGACCCTGTAAAACGGATATATCTCTCTGGTTTATGATAACTATCTAGTGAACCGTAGACCCTCTTAAACGGATATATATCTCTGGTTTATGATAATTATTTAGTGAACCGTAGACCCTGTAAAACGGATATATCTCTCTGGTTTATGATTATTATCTCCTGGCATGCAGTCCTACTATTTACAGGTATAAAGATAAAATGAAATTTTTATTCATGCTTAAAAATTGCTCTATGTTTAACCTTATATAGCCTGGGGGTTTGAATCTGTATAGAAAAAGGCCTTAGAGAATAAATATTAATTAATTTTTCAGTGCCCATTATAAAAAATTAGACCACTAATGAGAGTGTATTCTGTATAGTGCAAAACTACTAGAAGGGAGGGTTGTTTGGCAACAAGTTCCCCCGCTCCCCCAGCCTGTTTAGGGTTAAATTGAAGGGCTTTGTGAAATTTCATAGAAAGACATTTAATAGATAGGACATTTCATAGATATATCATTTCATAGATAGGACATTTCATAGATAGGACATTTAATAGATAGGACATTTCTATAGAAAGGACATTTCATAAATAGAGAAGATTTTTCATAGACAAAGGAGTTTTTTTATCAACGAAATTTCAAAAAAAAATTATTTAAGTTTTAACATTTTTAAAACATTACATATGAAGAGTATTTTATTTGTTTTTAAGAACTTATTGCATCTTATTTCTGTCTATTTTTAAGTTTTAAGATAAAATGATTTTGGAGAAAAAATTAGATTTTAAAAAAGTAAAAAAAAATCTTTTTTGTAAAAAATTCAAAAAATTCAAAAATATCATTCTATTAAAAATCTCCTCTGTCAATGAAAAATCTTCTTTGTCTATGAAATGTCTTATCTATGAAATGTCTTTATCTATGAAATGTCCTATCTCTGAAATGTCTTGATTTTGTTATCTATGAAATGTCTTTCTATGAAATATGACAACGTCAAAATGAAGAAATACAAATTATATCTATATTATTCTTGAATTAAAATTTTCCATTTCCATTAAAAGAGGTGCATGTCCGATTTACAAAGGTACCCTTAAAAGCATTGTTTTATTAATGCATGTTTTCCCACTAAAAGTGCTGACAGGCGGATTTCTGTTGCTTGAGAAATTGTCAAAATTAAATACTTTTCAAACTATTGATCAGGCGAAGATTTAAAGGGCACAGTGATTTACACAAAGCCCTTGATTAAAGCGAATACTCACTTGAAATCACAAGAACAGTCTCTTTATTTTGAAATATTTATCCTCGTTAGCTCCTCCTTTACTGGATGTATTTGGACGGTATGGTCCTGAACCTAGTGGAACAATGTGTACTCTGGATTTCTGGCATGGAAACTTTAGGATTGTTCTCTTTATCAATACTTGTTCATTATATACAGGGTTATTCATAGGAGATAAGACTTTAGGATTGTTCTCTTTATCAATACTTGTTCATTATATACAGGGTTATTCATAGGAGATAAGACTTCAGAGACTATACAGAGTTTATTCGGTCTTTGTTTGTGATTATATGCGATTAAAATATTAGTTAAAGATAACAAATGTTGATCAATTCCTGCTGTTATCATTAAAGTAAAATCCTTTTTCTTTTCCTCTTAATTTACGACCACTCATAATGAACAGCCCTCAGAGTGGTATTTCTGATTTTTAAGTTATAGTAGCAGACGCCTTACTCCAACAAGTTCTCTTAAATCCGTAACAATACAGGTATACCCTTCTGTAATCTTAATATGTATCAACAATACTCTCTATAATACTCAATCTCTATAATACTCAATCTCTATCAATCCTAATAAGATTCTGTTGTATTCTTTAGTATGTATCACTCAGATACAATTAGCTCTCTATAATACTCAATCTCTATCAATCCTAATAAGATGCTGTTGTATTCATTAGTATGTATTGTTCAGATACAACTAGCTCTCTATAATACTCAATCTCTATCAATCCAGATAAGATGCAGTTTTATTCTTTTGTATGTATCGCTGAGATACAACTAGCTCTCTATAATACTCAATCTCTATCAATCCCAATTATACGCTGTTGTGTTCATTAGTATGTATTACTCAGATACAACTAGATCTCTATAATACTCAATCTCTATCAATCCAGATAAGACGCTGTTGTATTCTTTAGGATGTATCACTCAGATACAACTAGCTCTTTATAATACTCAATCTCTATTAATCCTAATAAGATGCAGTTGTATTCATTAGTATGTATTACTCAGATACAACTAGATCTCTATAATACTCAATCTCTATTAATCCTAATAAGACGCTGTTGTATTCATTAGTATGTATCACTCAGATACATCTAGATCTCTATAATACTCAATCCATTCTTTTATACTTCTAAAATACTTGTTTAGAAAGAGTTACATCTTCTCAGCAAATTTTTATTCGTAAGAGCTCATTTATTTCTCTATTTTTCTATTCAATTTTTATTTTCTATTATTTTTTAGATGCAACCTCTATTACAAATATCTCATCAAAAAATTAACTATATTCAAAGAACTACATTCTTTATTTTGTCCTTGTATTCCATCTAGTCAACTTTAATATTTTAAACTCTTTAAATCTTTTATATTATTTTATTCTTACTGCTATTACAAAAATCTTGTATTTCTTAGAAAAATTTCCTTGTACATTTTTCTCCTAAATAAATAAAGATATCAAATATCTAATACATTTTTGACATTTCTCCAACCTGATTCCTTTCTACTACTACAGTTACTGCAACATACTTTTGTAAAATACAAACTAAGGGTTTACAACTTTACGGGGTACTAAACAACTAAGGGTTTACTAGGTACAACAAAACTAAGGGGTTTAATCAGGGTCGTTACAACAAAAATAAGGGTTTACAACTTTACGGTGTACAACAAAACTAAGGGTTTACGGGGTACAAAACTAAGGGTTTACGGGGTACAAAACTAAGGGTTTACGGGATACAAAACTAAGGGTTTACGGGGTACAACAAAACTAAGGGTTTACGGGGTACAACAAAACTAAGGGTTTACGGGGTACAAAACTAAGGGTTTACGGGGTACAAAACTAAGGGTTTATGGGGTACAACAAAACTAAGGGTTTACGGGGTACAACAAAACTAAGGGTTTACGAGGTACAACAAAACTAAGGATTTACAACTCTACGGCCACAACAAACCCTAAGATTACGGGGTACAACAAAAAATACGTAATCCATCAGTTTACTTAATGTCCGCTGTACAGTGAACAGTACATACAAAGAAAATATAAAACTGCACAATAAATTAAGAGAACATATAAACAGGAATTATAACAGCTATGTATACTTTCTTGTAGCCTGTGGATTTGTGGCCCCAACCTCAGCTATGTAAGTGTTTTTCTTTTCCATAATTTTAAACCTGCCAACGTGATTATAAATGCATGTTCATTAAGTATTAAAAATTATTTGCAACTATTTTACAAGGAAGTTGTCAAACTTTTAATTTCCAATAAAAGCAGTTGTGTACACCATTTTACCTTCTTTTTACAGTGGGTCGTTATTTTACATACGAGTTACCACACAAAAATTTGGGCCCGGTCGGTTCAGCCGTTTTTACGTTTATTGGATACACAAACAAGCAAAGTTTATTTAGAAATTTGTTCTGCATAATAATTGTATTTTTCAAACTTGTGAAGGTTACTAATGTTCCTGAAGTCAGCTAAAAGCATAAAGGATCCAAATATCAGGAAAAGATGGAACAGTGTTCAGTTGATCCATCATGAAGCTGTTGTTAAGGTGACAAATATGTGCTTTTAAGATAAGTTCGAGTATAGCATGGTTTAAATATCTATAAAAATGTGCCATAAACATGTTTAGGGATAATCAGCAGTTACATCACAAGATCTTAGTCTAAAATAATAACGAAGACGATAACTCTTTGTATTGGATACCAATGTATTGAATACCAATGTATTGGATACCAATCTATTGGATACCAATTCTATTCTTTGACTTACTTCACCCTGAAAAGCTGATAAATAATTTGTATATCCATCTATATATATATATATATATATATCTATATAAATTTTGTATTTCCGTTATTGTGTTTGTGCGTTTGTTTGTTTGTATGTCTGATCATAACTAAGAAAAAATGTTGACAGATTTGCCTTAAATTTGTATTAGGGAAATCTGTAAAAACACAGGAATTTTCTTAGCAATTATTTTTGACATAGTTACATTGAGTGGAACTTGTCTTTTTTACAGCGATAGTTTAGTTTCCAGACCAAAGCTAAGTGCCCAAACCATTTTTAAAAATGTTTTTATTTTTGTATAGACATGTGGTTTCCTATTCTTGGCAGCTATGGCATGCTGGACACCATACGCAGTTCTGGTTCTCTGGACGGTTGTGTTTCCTCCAACATCTCTTAATATCTACTATACTCTCATCCCCCCCATCATATGTAAACTTGCACCTGGAGTCAATGCAGTTATAATTTGGAGGAATATACCTAGGATACAGGCGGGATACAGGTATTAGAATACAGGTCATTCAGGTAGGAGGACACAGGCTGGATACAGTTAGGAGGATACATGATACAAATTGGAGGATGTGGACAGGTTATAGGTAGGAAGATACAGACAACAGATAGGAGGCTGCGTACAGGTTACAGATATACAGCTGATACAGGATACAGGTAAAGAGGATACAAGATATACAAGCAGGAGGATACAGGTTACTTATAGATGCAGGAAAGAGAATACGGCCGGATAAATATAGAATGATATACAGGATACAGGATTCAGGTATAGATACTTGAGTGAGGATAAAGGATTATAGAGAAATGGGAAAAGGGGCCAATATAGAATTTTGTGGGAAAAATCTAAATACAATACTTGAAGCAATGATCGATATACATGATACAGAATACAAAATAGGCAAGAGATACAGGATACAAAATAAAATTTGAAGAGTGCTATAAACTGAAAATATACTGTAAATTAACATTACTATCTCCAGGTACTTGAAGAGTAACCGGGACGGATCGCTGCCCCCTGAGTTAGGACAGATGGATGGGTTCCAGGACGGAGATGAGCTGGTTCAAGAGAAACTAGCTCCGACTCTAACTGTAGACTAGAAGAAGAAATGGCAAATGTCGGCTCTACACAATGGGATCATTTTAACATATTAATAAAGCAGTTGCTCACAAAATATATCTTCTTAATGGGTAGTTTCAAGGAACCCTCCAAGAAAAGATGGCAATGCCTGATTTACAACGATACCCTTAGAAGCTGTGCCTGATCAAGTATGAATAAGAAATCAATGCTTATCATTTTGAAAGCTGATTATTTTAAACTGTGGTTTCTCTTCAAAAGTGCAGACTTGCAGAAAAACATTTAGAAATTATTAGATTTCAACACTTTCAAACCTAAAACAACAATATATCTTCTACTTTAGAATTTTCGTTAATCAGCTTAAAGTTTTAACTTTCAAGGGTACCGTTGTGAATCGGAATTGCCACCTTTTCATAGAGTGTCACTTGAAAATACGCTTACAGTCACTTTAAGCAACTATAAAATGTTTAAAGACATTTTAAAAGCTAGTTTATTATTAATATACAATATTATATTTTTGATTCAATGTAAAGACGACAGACCACAAAACGCGGGAAAACGCAATTGTTCCGCCATTTTTTCCCCTCACAAACATCTTAAAATCGAAGGAAACATGTTTATTTTTAATTGTCACATTAAAAATAAATGAACAATCCTTTTAAATGAAAATTTGAATTTTTAAATAAAATCTTAATTTTTTCAGGTTTTATCTTTTTTCTTTCAGTATTTTTTATTTTATATAAAATTAGTTTTTTTCTGTAAAATATGAAATAAATATTGTGCGTTTAAAAAAGTATAAATATTTTTATTTAAAACAAAACATACATTTCTTTATATACAATATACATATGTATATATATATATTTATCAATAAATATTACTTTAATGTAAAGTTGTCTTTTTTAATATCTTCACAACGAAATAATATCCTTCTTGGTTCCAAAACAAGTTGAACAAAACCGTTCAGACGCCATAGAGCTTTCTTCAAATCTAAACTTGAAAGCAGAGAGTTTGCTTCAAATTAAAACTTGAAACCAGAGAGTTTGCTTCAAATTTAAACTTGAAACCAGAGAGTTTGCTTCAAATTTAAACTTGAAATCAGAGAGTATGCTTTAAAGTAAAACTTGAAACAAGAGGGTTTGCTTTAAATTAAAATTTGAAAGCAGAGAGTTTGCATCAAATCCAAACTTGAAAGCAGAGAGTTTGCATCAAATCCAAACTTGAAAGCAGAGAGTTTGCATCAAATCCAAACTTGAAAGCACAGAGTTTGCATCAAATCCAAACTTGAAAGCAGAGAGTTTGCTTCAAATTAAAACTTGAAAGCAGAGAGTTTGCTTCAATTTAAAACTTGAAAGCAGAGAGTTTTCTTCAAATTAAAACTTGAAAGCAGAGAGTTTGCTTCAAATTAAAACTTGAAAGCAGAGAGTTTGCATCAAATTTAAACTTGAAAGCAGAGAATTTTCTTCAAATTTCAACTTGAAAGCAGAGAGCTTTAAAGAGGGCTATGCCTAATTAACAACGTTACCCTCGAAATCTGATTAATAAAGTGAAAGGTAGCGTAGTTTTCTAGCTTGAAAAGTGTTTAATTCCGATCATTTCTCCTTAGTTTTCTTGCAGTAGAAATGCACAATTGAAAATAATCTGTTTTAAGATTATAAGCATCGATGTATAATTCATACTTGATTACGCAAAGCGTTTAAGGGTATCGTTGTGAATCAAACATAGAACTCTATAAATGGAAGTTTGCTTGAAATCATATGTACAGACCTTTAAATACCTTCAAAAAATAAGTGTAAAACTCTATGTGGAATAACATTGCACAATAATTGAAATTTGACTTAACATGGTTCAAAAACTTTAAATCAGAAAATCCTGCAGTTTATGCTCTAAACTCTGATCATGGTTGAAAAGGGATTGGTTTTGGAACACACAAAGGTTCAGGTACTTTTTTAGACAGATAGGTGGAATAAATTTTTAAATGTATGGCAAATAGATTGCTGCAAGCTCATGGGGATCTGACATTCTAGACAAGCATAGCCATGGTTTACATCCTGGCAACATTTCTTTGCATTTAGGGTGCTCCGTGTACTTTTATAGGCTCAATCGAATAACTTAAGATTGTTGAATTGAAAAATCAGTAAACCGAACTGATATCCATCACAGAAGTAGCGGTTGAATTTAAAACTACGGGAGTTTTTTTGACAAAAAACTCCGCAATTTCTTCCGGAGATTTATCTTTTGTTTCCGGTACACAGAAAACAATAAATATGGCTCCTATAAATGACAACCCTGCGAAGCACCAAAAAGCTGAGAAAGATCCAGAATATTCCTGAATGTATCCAAAGCTAAGTGCAAAGCAGAAGTTACAGATCCACGTGAACGCTACGGCAAACGGATATAGTTTCCCACGTGCTGAAGTGGGAAGTATTTCCGCCATGACAGTCCAAGCAACTGCTCCATATCCAACCATGAAAAAGGATATAAATACAAGCATAGAGACAAGTGGTACCCAGTGGCAGGTTAAAGAAACCCCTGAACCCTTGAGATAATAGTAAACCCCTAATATAATCAGATTGATACTGGTCCCAATAGATGAAGCAAGTAGGAGAAGTTTTCTGCGTAGAAGTTTGGAGAGTCCAATAGCGGCAATACAGCTGACCAAGATGACCCCGCCGGTGATTCCAGTAGCGATATGTTCGTTCATTGTTAGCCCCGACTCCTTGAAGATAAGCTTACTGTAGGCGATGATGGTGTTGTATCCCGTGGCCTGGAAGAAGAACATGATGGCTAGACAGACGAGAGATGGTTTCCAGACTGCAGGGTGCTTGTGGAATCTCCAGGACGGAGAGGAGTTTGCATCTTCTGTATTTTCAAATACGTCCGGACCACTGTAGTGCAGAGTTTCTCCTTGAACCTGCGGAGAAGTTAATTAAAGGGTCTGCTGACATAATATTTTATAACGAGTCCCATAAAACCTTTGTCTGAGCAATAGATAACTAAAAAATACTTATTTTCTGAACAAAAAATGTTAACATATAACAGACCTGATGCTTTAAGGACAATAAAGGAAGTTGTTAGAATAAAAACAAAAATTCAAGGTATAAAAACGGTCATGTAGCTTCCTTATTGTTACTCAGATATAGATTTAAAGGGCGCCGTTATAAATCAGTTATAAATCAGTTATAAATCAGTTATAAATCAGTTATAAATCAGTTATAAATCAGAAAAAAAATTTAAAAGTTTATTTGTTTCGTACCTGTTTAAAGAACCCTGTAGGAGCCTCTGTTCGTCCCAATTTTTGTAGAGATTGTTCAGCTCCCATAAAGTCTCCCTAAAATATTGAAAAATTTTCTAACGATTCAAAAAAAAATAATTACGAAAAAATATTTCAAATTAACTCTTTTTTTAATGTTTCAAGAAACAGGAGGTTTTCTCACCTTCGAGGCTAGATGTACAGGTGACTCTGGGATTACCCAAATAAACAAGATCGTTGGTACTATCAGAGCTATCCCTGAGAGAGCCAACCCTGCCCATTCTAACCAGATACCAGAGATATATGTCGTTAACAGTCCAACCTGGAACAATAATAGTGGTCTATATTAGATTCTTTAAACATTTTTCTGAGAAAAAATGATGGAGATATCTTGTAAAATTTATAACTTTCAAGTGTGGTTTCTTTTAAAATGTTGATGTCAGATTTTTGCAGCAAAAAAAGAAAGTAATGGAATTGAGTTTTTGCCACAAATTATGATTTTACATTTGCCATATCTTTTCAACCTGATGGTGTAAACCATTGATATTTCAAACTACCATTATTTGATCTAAAATTATTCATTGTTTGAAATATCTAAGGTCTCCGACAATCAAATGCAAAGATATAGGGATAAGAAAATACAGAGTTTGTGACAAAAACTCAATTCTTTTGAAGAATGTTGTTCTCTTGAAGATATGAGAAATCAGATACAGAGTTAAAGGGTGCCATCGTCAATCAGAAATGTAAGTTTGAAATTAGAACTTTTGTGATGTGAATCTTGGGATTAAACTTTGATCTCCTTGATCTCCTTTTTATGGAGATCTACCGATCAATTTAATTCAGCTTTGAAATCCCGTGATGGCCATACCCTGCAGGATTAACTACAATTGAGAGATCAAGCATAAATTCTCAAATTTAAAAGAGACCACATTAGATATCGAGATTAAACGTTCTAAAGTTAAAATACCCACACAAAAGTTAAATGGTGCAGAATATACTAGAGTAATTATTCCAACTCTGTTACCTGGGTAAATAGTGCAGAATCTACTAGAGTAATTATTCCAACTCTGTTACCTGGGTAAATAGTGCAGAATCTACTAGAGTAATTATTTCAACTCTGTTACCTGGGTAAATAGTGGAGGAATTACTCCCAACATTCCTCTATTACTGATATTGGATACTTCTACAAGATAGACTGGAGTTATAGAGAGAGTTAATCCTAATCCTATTCCACCTAACAACCGACCTAAACAACAAATTATAAGAATTAAAATGATAAAATTTGTCCAACTAGTGGAGATGATAATAATTATTTTGACGGGATTGTAAAATTGTTTACAGATTTATCAAGTTTTCTGGTAAATTTGATCTTAAATTAAACAATTAAAAAATAACCAGAGCATGGAAACTCTTGAATTGTGGATATCAAGATCAATTCATAATCTCGATCTTTTGTTAATCTGCAGATTATTTTAATCAATATCCCGCTTGGTAATCGTACACAGTCAGAGGTTTAAGGGAGCTTGGTTAAGGAATGATTCTCTGAAAGTGCCCACAGTGGATAACGAGATCAAACAATGAGTATCCAACGCAAAAGTTCCCAGCTCAGGAGAACAATGCTTTTTCATGCATTGAGATGAAGTTGGTTTATTTTGATAAACCAGTATTTTTATATCAGTTATCTTTGCACTACATTCTAAATTCTAATGTTTATAATGCAACTGAAGATAAAAGCACACAGTCAGTGCTGACATCCTAATAATTCATGAGATTGGGTCTCTGTCCTTTTAAAAGGTCGGTGGGGGGGGGGGGTACATATGTGTTATAATTAATATTTTATCATAATTACCTATAATAATCATTTCAACGTTAACCGCGAAGCCAATGAGTAGATATCCCAATAGATAAGCTACAGTCATCACGTAAAGAGCAGCACCCCGCCTACCCAGCAGTGTCATGGTAGGTATAGATAATAAACAACCAAGCACTGCACCCAATGTGTGAACACTACCTATAACAAAATTATTTCTCTAAGCATGAACGAGAGTGTAAAGGTTGAATAATTAGATTCATAATGTTTTGGAAAATCTTTTTTTAGAATAAGATTGAAAAATTCTAAAGTTTTTTTTAGAGAGTACAAGAGATTTAATTACTTTTGGGTTTTGTTATAATGGAGGGGGGGGGGGGGGTATTTTAATGATGCATTGCTTAAGAGCTAATATGTTTTGCAATTACTATATCTGTTATCTTTTTAATACTGTGATATCATTTCTACGTTACTAATTCTTGTTCCTAGTTGATATTTAGGTCATGGTATCATGGTACAACAAATATATAAACTAGTTAATTAACGCCCCCGGCTTATGTTTCATTCAAATATCATCAATCTGTCTCAAGGAAGAAATGAACTCATTTAATCGAAAAAAAGAAAAAAAGAATTGAATCTGTTGTTAAAGGAATTGAGTCTTTGCCACAAACTCTGAATTTATAATCCCTATATCTTTAGAACCCAATGTCGTAAATCTTTAATTTCAAACTTATAATATTTGATCTAACAGAATTCATAGTTTGAAATATCTAAGGTCTACGACATTGGAATCCAAAGATATAGGATTTAGAAAAGCAGGGTTTGTGGCAAGATAGAAGATCATAAAAATATGAGTCAGCTGTTTTACATGATTAAGCCATTTCTCACAAAAGTTTGAACCTCTGAAAGTACAAAACCTAAAGTACTAAACTATAAGTGTACTGAGTGTACTAACCTATCCATGAAGCATGATGAAGATTAATCTGAACAGTTGAGCTCTGTTTGAACAATGAAGGAAGAGCAGGTGATGAGTAGGCAATAACAGTTCCATCTAGTACACAACCCAGGGACATACCAGCAACAGCCAGACCTTGCTTTACTAAACCATTCTGTAAACTCAGCCAGGAACTTGATCTAGAGCAGGACTGAGAAACTTTTTCAGTTCTGGTCACATTATCAGCCTTTTCCGGGTCTGAATAACTGCTGATGTGTTCTCCGGTCCATACCAGAGACTTAGTTCCGGCCTTCGAGCTGTTTTCTTGTCCTGTCCCCATCCTGAAATATATCAAAATATTTAAAGGTTTTAAATATTTCTATATTCTTGCTTGGACGGTGTTACCTTGCCTAAACTGTTACGCCGTACGGTGTACCCTTACTTAAATTGTACTGTATGGTCAGTCATTTACTATGCTTTATTGCACGGTTTACTCTTAACTACATTGTACTGCACGATATACCCTTAACTATGCAGTACCGTATTGTGTACCGTTACCTCCAATTACACTGTTGGGGAAGCAACTATCTTTCCCGTTCTTTGAAATGCACATTGTTTACCCCGTTGCTTTGTAGTGTATACCCCATACACTGTACTGTACATGGTATCTTATCACTCTGGCCTAAACTGTACAGCGTACTGCGTACAGCTCAGAATACATACATCTACTCCTCTCTATGACTTATCCTTTATCCTTGTAAATTTAAGATTACAGGTTTATGTTGGTTTATATGTAGCCCCAGGTTTATTTATGATTGTTCTCCAGGTACGCTTTATAGTAGGGATATCAGGGTAGTGTGGGAACTGGGGAATTCTAGGAATTCCTAAGAGGAAACAGAGTTTTTTAGGTAATTAGGAGTCTTAATTACATATAAATACTATCCAAAGCTCATGGCATATACATATAATAAATGAATGTTGATTTGAAAAAAAAAGGTTGAGTGCTTTTGTTTTTAACTTTCAATAAAATATTCAATCTTTACTGTTCATGCCCGAACAGAGTTAAAAATAATTTCATAAAACGCAAAACGAATAATTAAACTTGTTTTGACCCGTTCTGTTTTCCGATGACTCACAATAAAAACCCGATATTTGTCTATCCCCACCATGTGAATTAGGACAGTATTTGGCTAGATTTCAATATTTATTCTAAAGGTATGAACTGGAGTGATATAGACAGATACACGATGTACAAAGCACGTATTGCATGTTAGAGATATCGGTATACACTATAAATAGGGAAACGACTGGAAAAGAAAAACGACTTTTAAACTCAAGATATGACTTTAAATAGTCTCATGAGAATGATTGTGCAGTATAAAAGGATCCATTTCACTCAATTAGTGGTTTAATAATTGTCTAGTAAAACTATTTGCTTTCTAACAACATGAAATACACTTAAGTATTGCTATAAAGTCGTCTTCCTATTTCAGAGTTTTTTGGTTATCACTCATCGAGATATTAGTAATAGAGGGGGCATCTGGAATTTTAGACTTCTTGTTGTACAGCCACTGTACACAATGACCCGATCAGAAATTCTACCTGGGGGGGATCATAATTCGTAGATCAGTTTTGAAAGTTATTGTTTGAAAGTGAAAGCAAAGAAAACAAGTCCATATGATTTTTGTATAAAAATGAGACATGACAAATAGAGAAAAAAATAAAATCCCCCCCCCCCTCTAAATCCCATTTTTGATGTATAAATATGACAAATGATACATCGTTGTTTACACAATTTTTGACACTACAATATCTCAATTGTTGAAAAACATTAAAATTAACTGTCCAATCAATACCGTACAAATAGATGTACTTAGGATTAAACCCACTGTACTCTATGATACCAACTCAGTCATAAGGAAACATTTTTCGACAAATTTCACTGTACAGTATAAACCTAGCCAGGCAAAATTAGGAGAGTTATGCCCGCCCCCTGTTATCACTGCATATTATTTTATTACTAATGAAATATAGTGTCTTTCTTATTTAAAAATTAAAATATTCTCGCATATATCTTAACCTAATTCTAAGCCATCTTTAATAGTAAGCCAATTTATATATTGTTATACAGTAAAATATGATGACCCTGATAAAGCCTGCAGAGTAGGTCATTTCAATCGAACAACTAAAATTTTAGTTTTAAGTACAGGGGGGGGGGGAGTTTAAAAAATCAAGGATTAAAGAACATTTTTTATCAGCAACCATTTATAAAACTTGCAACTATTTAGATTAATTCTGTTTTTTTCTAATTTTTATTGAACTTTCAAAGTGATTTCGAGAACTTAAAAACGGTACGGGCTACTGCCTTTAAACCTTTGTCTGAGATGATGGAGACATCCTTGTTTTTCTCATTATAATTTGATTATTATGCAGCTTGCAAAGACAAAAGTTGGTATTTGACAGTATTTTTACCTTTTCAAGATTGTTATTAAGTGAATCGTAACTGAAGGGTCATTAGAATTAGACAACAGTCCCTTTAAGACTGAATAAAAGGTGTATCCTACAAAATCATGATATTTACCTAAAGGCGTAAAGTAAGTTGTTTCTGAATGTATCTCCGAAATCATCCATGTTTTGTATTTTTATAGAAACCAAGAAACGTGCAAAAATTCTATGGGTCGCAAAATTTCTTTATAACATAAACTTAACGCTAACAGTTCAAGATTCTAAACTCTAAAAAACTCTCATAGACTTGAACCCTACACTGTTTGATGTCTTGTTTACAACTGAGAACTATAAACACGATTGTGTTTCATAAGCATGATAGATTTTAGCTCCAAGTTTTATAAACGGTTAGGATTATAAACCACGAGATTTAAATGTCGGATGAGAACTCAAAGAAGTGCACAGATGGGTTGCACGTTTTCCCCCTGCACGTGAGTACTGAAGGAAAAACACAAATGTAAAATGGGCATAGGTATTAAATATTAAATTTTTGTTTAGATAAATTTTTATTTGCCTCTAGTAGTATGTTTGCGTATAAAGGGACCTATCTATGTCAAGACCTACCCTCCTATGAAGCAAAAACTGGTAATTCTTTGGGCTTCTTCCCAGTGCCTTTTCTGAGTTATATAAATACGTTTTACAAGAAGTCTCGGTTAAATAACACGTTTTACCACGGGCATATCGTAAACTTTATACTGTCACTGGGCCATAGTAGAATAGGCCTACTCTGACATATACTATACCTACCCACCCCAACCATAAATCATTAAAAAACAAAAGAAAGTTTCCTATTTAACAAATATTCCCATTCGTATTGGCTCAAAAAAGAGATTGAGTCTTTGCCACAAACTCTGATTTTCTAATCCCCATATCTTTGCAACCCAAGATTACAGACCTTTGATATTTCAAACAATAAATTCTGTTAGTTCAAATAGTGCAATATATCAAATGGTTACACCATCAGGTTGCACAGATATAAGGAGTCGAATATTTCCGACTTTGATTAATTGATCCATCAGAATTTTAAAATTTGAAATCTTAAAGATCTACGACATTGGGTTGTAGAAAATTAGGGCTTGTGGCAACGAATTGATTCTTTTACTTTTAACCCTTTCGCATTTATTTCGTAAACGTACACAATTTGAATATTTTTCGCTAAACACTGACCCCCACCCCCCTCCGACTACTCCTATCCTAGTTAGGACCCCTTCAATTATGACAATATTGTGGTTAAACCATTAAACCAAATGAACCAGGTGGAATATTCTAAAAATAATATTGACAGGAAGCCAAAAATATTGATTATCTAATATTTATAATTATAATTTTCATCATGTCAAGTTTCTATAATTCAGAGTTTTTGGGGATAAAAAAAACGTCAATAACTGTTGCTTGTCAAGATAGTTAATTTTCCCGGGAATCTTTGCTATTTCTACTTAGTCATCTTGAGTAATAACTCATTTGTCGCTAAATAAGTTCAAACAAATTAAACTGTTTATAATACATAATAAAAAATATGTTAATAAAAATTAAGGACCGACCCGGAAGCTAAGTAAGCTCCTATTCAAAACGTGCTATAAACTGTCTTATTTAAAATAACGTCTGGAAGCTGATTTCTTATTGAAAACGTTCTGAATAATTAGTTTAATAGCAAGTTAGTAAGCTAAATTCTTATTTTAAAAATATTCAATTATGAATTGTTAAAAAAAAATATGTTGATGAAAATCTAATGGGACCGACTCGAATTTTAAGTTCGTGAAAATTGTGTAATATGTTGGATAGCACGTTTGTAAGCTCCTATTCAAAACGTGCTGACTGTCTTGTTTAAAAGCACGTCTGGAAGCTGTTTTCTGATTTAAAATGTGCTAAATAACAGTTTTACATCACGTCAGTAAGCTAAGTTCTTGCTTAAAACTTGCCGAATAATTAGTTTATTGCTTTTGTAGGGAAGCTGAGTTCTTACTTAAAACGTGCCGAATTATCACGTAAAAAACTAAGTTCAAGTTTAATTTGGGCCGAACATAGCACTTCAGGAAGCTGAGTAATAATTTAAAAAGTGCTGACTAACCTGTTTTCACAGATGCATATTGCACTATTACAAAATGTCTAATGTCTAGATTTACAATGCTTCTAGACAAGGAGGAGAAGATTGAGGGGGGGGGGGAGAAATGTGTGCATCTGCCATGGGAGAAGATTGGGGGGAGAAATGTATGAATAAAAAATGTGAAAATTAGTAATTGAGAGTTTACTAATCCCTACTATGATAAATTAGTTTTTAAATAAATAAATGCAAATTTATAGAATCTTACTTGTTAATACTTTTCTTCCGACCCATCTTAAAGGAATTCTGAAAGTAATTTCAAGTAACTCTAAATTTTTCCTTTTCTCAACGGTACCCTCAAAACCTTTGTCTGTTCAAGAGATTATGAGATGATAATATTTTTCTCTTTGAAAATTGATTTTCAATTGTGTTTCTCATTTAAATTGACTTTTAGATTTTCGCTGCAGAAATAGACACTTTTATTGATGAAAAAACGACGATACTTTCCACATTTATGATCAGATAAAGGTTTCAAAAGTATCGATGTGCATCTGACATGTCATTTTTAAATCCTGGGTTACTTGAAATTACGTCCCTGATAAGAAAATACGCTAACTCGCTCGAACAATGTTGAGAACTAAAGATGATTTTAAGATTTTTGGTTGAATATGAAAACGATAAAAGAACATCTGTAAAAATTACCTTAATAATGCAAATGAACGGTATCAGCAAAGGCCAAAATCATTAAGATCTAAACCGTAATATTCTGCAATTTTTAAAATTAAAATTTTAAAG